GGGTTAGATATGCATCTTGTTTCCAATGAATGTTGATTAATTTGTATTAACTTTTTTGAAACCACATAAAGCGACTGCTCTTGTTATATTGGGCTATACAAAAAATAAATAGAATTAAACGTTCTTTTATTTCCAAATTACAGGCCTGCCAGCTACTACTACAGCATCAACAGCAGCCACCGCAGCAGCCAATGTTCCCGAATCAGAGGAAGTTTCCGCAGCCTCAGCCTGTGAGGCAGCAGTCAGACCCACAGCAGGTACCAGCATCCACACCCTCTGTGTCGTTTGTCCGTTACCTGCTGCACTAGGTGTTTACCATGTGGGCCTGTTCTTTTTAGTTGGCACGAATTATGGCCATTCTGCAGCAACAGAGACAGCAGCAGCAAACAGGGGTTGGAGGACAAGCACCTATCGGAGGAAACTCCAAACTGTCACCTTCTCATCTGGGAGGAGGCATTTCCAAACAATCAATTGTAGACCCACTGCAACACCCTGGGATGGGTGGTCCACTGTCAGATATTCATGCCAAAAGTCAAGGCATGTACTCTGGTAAGACAGTCCAGTTAGAAGTAGTGTGATGTCAAAACCTCTCAAAGGTTAAGGTGTATTTTTTTTCTTAATCTAATGTGTGCTACTGTTAACCTCAGGCATGGAGCTCAGTTCTGTGATGGGAGGAATGAAGGACACTGGAGGACAGCAGTCCCGCTTCAAATGGATGATGGAAGGACACTCCCCTGTTCCATCTCCCCCTGATCTCACACTCAACAAAAATGGTGCGTTATCTGATGGTATGTACTGTAACAGTATATACTCAGGATTTGTGATACTTGAACGAAATCCTCAGTTTTATATTTTAATGGATTAGGTCCTTTACCTGGAGGCATGAAGGTGAGAGGAGGCTCTCCTTACTCTCAGTATGACATGCTGGCTGGTGATGCTTTGGGGATTCCTCCTCAAGGTGCTGCTGACAGCTGGCACCGCACACCTGGCAGCAAACTGGGCCACAAACCAGCCACATCCAGCTGGCCTCCAGGTAGGTCCATCTTTAACCTTCATTTAAGAAAAACATCAGAAGATAAGATAATTATGTACCAAATGTTGTTTGTAAAACACAAAACATTTTTGTTTTGTTGCTAGAATTTCAGCCAGGCGTTCCGTGGAAGGGAATCCAGAGCAGTGGAGACCCAGAGTCTGACCCCTACATGACCCCTGGTGGAAGTGTTCTTGGCTCTCCTGGACCTCCAGGACTCAACGACACAGACCATCAGTTGCTAAGAGACAACATAGGTACTGTATCTAATGTGTAACTCCCCTCTCTATGTGCTTGTGACCACAGGCTATTTTGTTTTGTATTCCTTAATTTGCTGCATTTGATTTCTGCTTGTGTAGGGCCAAACCCCTCCCTCAACACCTCGCTGCCTTCACCAGTTGCCTGGCCCTACAGTGCCTCAGACAGCCCCCTCAGCAATGCACACAGCACAGGTACCACCCAGCTAGCCACTTTACTAGTTACTTTACTACACTTTGACATCTTTTCTGTTGAGTACGTTCCACTCTCGCCTTTTAACACTGGTGAAAAAAAGAGAATCTTGGGGAAATAATGCTCTTCAACTCTGATTTCAGTGGTTCGTTTGTTCAACTTATTCCCCCTTCTCTCCCCCACCTCCATTTCCTTTTCAGGAAAGTACTCGGAGTACAAACCCAGCTGGCCTCCTGAACCCATCGGACAAAACAAGATGTGGAAGACCAATCGCAACAGCTCACAGCTGCCACGCCCCCCTCCTGGCTTGACTAATCAAAAGCAGGCCTCTCCCTCCCCTTGGGGAAGTGGGGGCCCGCGGTTGGCTCGTAGTTGGGGAGGGGGTGGGGTTAACCAAGACTCAAGATTTGGGCAAGGTACAACTTGTCTTGTGTCTTCAGTGACTAATAATTTTTAATTGATCAGAGCATAATCTAGAGCCTTTGCTTACTCTTTGTTATGCAATTGTTTCAGCTTGGAGCGATGGTACAGCTTGTCGGAGCAGCTGTTGGTTACTGCTTAGCAATCTGACACCTCAGGTAAAGAAATTGTTGTGGTTATAAGTGGTGGGTAAATTAGAGGCTTTGATAATTGCTTTAGCTGTGTTTTACTTGGTTTATTGGGTTGGTGTTTTTTTTTTTCTTTGTTTTTTTTTTTTTAAGAGAAAATTATTATAAAAACATTATATATTTTTATATATTAATATTTTCCCCTTTTTTCTGAAAGATTGATGGTTCCACTTTAAGGACTATATGCATGCAGCATGGCCCCCTGCTGACCTTCCACCTTGGCTTGACCCAGGGCAGTGCTCTGATTCGCTACAGCAGCCGACAGGAAGCAGCCAAGGCCCAGGGTGCACTCCACATGTAGGTCAACCAATTTAATTGAGGCACACAAATTAAAGCAAATATTAATTGCAATAGTTTTTTTCACATTTTTACAAAGTGTGTATATCTCTCTGTCATTTTACTGACCTGTATATTGAGCAGGTGTCAAAAGACATTTTTGCTACACTATTTCTATAGAGTATGCGAAGAAGATGTTTACAAATTATTTTTAATTCTTTATAATTTTTTTATAGGTGTGTCCTAGGCAACACCACAATCCTGGCGGAGTTTGTCAGTGAGGAAGAAGTTGCTCGCTATTTTGCACATTCCCAGGCTGGAGGAGAATGTCCTAGCCCAGGGACAGTAGTAGCAGGTGGGGCCCAAAGTTCTTCTGGATCAGGTGTCGCTGTGGCCAGTAGTGGAGGTAGCTCCCCAGGCAGCGAGCGAGCCTCAGGGGGCACAGCCTCCAGTGAAAGTGGCAGTGGAGGAGCAGGGGACAGTGGAGCCGGTCTGCCTGGTGTGAGATCCTCCTCTAGTTGGCAGAACCTGGACGGTACTGGCACTTCTTCAGAGACTCTTTCAGCCCAGGGATCTGGACTGGGGATATTTTCCCAATGGAGCACCAACGGGGCCGGGGAGGGAACCGCCATTACTGGAGTGGAGTCTGGGAGATCTGGGCTGTGGGGGAGCATGACTGCGGGTTATCCCAGCAGCAGCAGCCTATGGGGGGCACCACAAATTGAGGAGAGGCACCAAATGGACAGCCCTGCAGCACTGTTGCCTGGCGACCTGCTGGGCGGAGGGGCTGATTCCATCTGACCAGCCCTCTCCATTTGAACCATTTGATGTAGAATTGGAAATGGCATACACTGGGTTACATATGTACTTTAGCACACTTACACATTGACATAGTATGCATATTATTGTAGTGCACATACAAAGACACAGGCATACTTGAACAAGGTATGCATATTATTGTGCACACACAAAGCAGAAATGTGAGACTTGCTTACACACATTCTTGTGGCCAGACTTAAGCTATTATATAAATTGCAGGGACTGTTAGATGTGTATCAGCCTTTTTCCACAGATGAAGATTTCAACTGCTTAGACTTGAAACCTGAAAATTAATGAAAAGTCAGTTGGTCTGAAAGACTTGAATGGATTATGCTTATTAGATAGTGGACTCGTCGACAGATTTACATCCACATGCACACACCAAATACAGACAAGCCTTCAGACAGACCGCACTATAAACAACATTACCTTCATTGTGTACAACTTCAAACTACATAATGTGATGTTTAAGTGCAGTTTGTATTTACATCTCTGTAAAGATGGAGACCGAATCCAAACACATGCAAAGAGTTCTGCCTGACATCAGAACTGTATCTTACTGTGTATGTTATTTTTCAGTTAGTTATGTACGGCTTTAATTTGAAAGTGAAAATATGGAAAATCATTTTTTTGTTTTTCAAAATGCTGACCTCCTACTGTTGTATCTCACGCACTCTCTATTATTCTCTCTTGAAAATGTTTGTTACTGTTGCAGTGATAAATGTTTGCAGGCAGTTGTTATGAGTTGAAGCTACGTTGCATTTCTCCATGTGCTGATACCAAGCGCAGTATCGCACACTTTTTTGGACATTATGTATGAGTGAGGCGTTGAGACCAAGTAGGTGGACGTGAACCACCAGTTTGTGTGTGAATGTATGTTGTATGCATGTTTCTGCCTGTGGGCAAGGCTGCTTACTATACAGAAGGTCTATACAAAATGAGTTTGAGTGCATTTGATATATACTGCTGACTGTGTTGAGAATTATTGGCACTAATGCTTTGTTTCTTTCATTTGATTTTTTTTTATTAGCAGATGTCTTTTTTATTGTCTGATCTGCAATAATAAAAAAGAACATTTTAATGATACAAAGAGCTGAAGGCATAAGCGTTGAGAATGGACATGCCAAATCTTATCAAACTGTGTTGAACGGGTGGGAGGGGTGGGGAGGGAGGGTTGTTTACAAATGCATAAGAGTTACCGTACGTTTTTAATGTTCCGTTGTTGTGTATTAATTTTAAATTAAGACAGGCTTTAACACTCCTGTTCAGTGTTTTTGTTTTGAGATTTTACAAATGAAATTTTATTTAAACATGAGAACAAGATTAATAAAGATGAAAGTATTGGCTTCTAAATGTTTTTTGTAATGTGCAATTTAACCTATCATCTTTTTCTGGTCTTCTCTTGTAATTGTTTTTCTGCAGTAGTGAGTTCTTTTAAGATATATTGCATTCAAGGGAGGCCTGGGTATAAAATATATCACAAGAAGAACAGGCCACCAAGTCCATCTACCATCCTTCTAGTAAAACGTGTACAATCCAATTTCAATTAACCCCCACACCATGTCACTCTAAACCATGCTCATTCTGTGAAATAACACACAAAAACATGTACAGTAGCCTATATTTTACACTACAGTATTTCATACTGCCTAAAGTGAATAATTCAGCGACATAGACATACTCGACTGTATGGCTAGAGCACAATGTGTGCTGCAATGTTTTTCTCAGATTTCCAAATAGTGTTTCCTCTGCTAACTTGAACAAAAAAAATATTTGGTGGGTAGTGTCCGCCTGTGACGTGCCCCTGACATGACATCATGTTGTGAAGGAGCCTGTTAAGTAACGAGAGGGGGAGACAGACTCGAGTGGAGCTCGGCCGCTTTGCTGCTGGAGCTTCTCAGGGATTATCAACAGGGAGTGCAGCCGACGACAGAGCACTGAGCTGGGGGAATGAGAGTCGCCAGAATCCGCTCCCATCCTCTTTTTCCCGGGCCCCAATCCGACTGACAACCATCGGATCAGAACCTCCACCGATACAGCTTCCGAACGAACCCAGTATCGGGTGAGTTTGTGGTCGGGGAACCGCAGAAAACAAGGGGGAAAAGCGGCCTGATTTGTCCGAATCCGAGTCTAGTATTCTCGGTGTACAGGAGAGGGGGAGGGGGCCTTCAGTAGGATGTTATCTCTACAGGCTTGTCCAACATACTTATGGGTGCGGTTAAAAATCACAATAGAGTGTTTTTAATACAAAGCAACGTGGGCATTTGAGAGTTGTTTTTCTTGATTTTAGTGGTGCAGTGTGTGCAGGTCTGTTCGGGTCTGTACGCATCTGCCTTAGCATAATCTGTGCTAACAGAAGTAACGGGGATGCGCTCCGTTCAGTCTGAAGCCTTTTATTCACGGTTTGTGTTGTTCTCAGGCAAATAACATATTACACCTTTATAGTGTAATGTTATTTTATAAAAGACAGTGACACCAGTTTAGCAAAACTACTCCTCCTTTGTAGCTACTGTTACTTATGCTTGATTGCTTTTATGGTACAGCACCTAATTTACGGAGCATAAACACTAAACAACTTTGAAATGCGATAAAATGAATGTTTAGATTTATCGTTTGTTTTTGGTTATTTTTTCTGCATGAGTCTACAGCAGTGACAGAGGGACAGACTCAGTGTTACTCTAGTTTTCCCTTCAGCATGTGACTGATCACTGAAGTCAATCATATGTTCACTTTTTCTTCTGCGTTTGTTTCCAATGTCCACGTTTCTGTTTTTCTTTCATGGAATAGGAAAGTTTCTAATGGTAGTGAATGATAAAGGCATACTGTTGAAATTAGCCACTTCAATATTATGTAGCCTGTGCTCTTTAACTTATATGGGACCAGTTTGATGCATATGGCCATACATTAAACCACCACAAAAATGGGTTCCTATTTATCACTACAACTATGTAAACTGAAACTAATTATGATTCTTGCTCCAAAATATAACTTCAATGATCGATTACAAGTATGTCAAAGGTCAGTCTCTGCGACCCTCAAGTTACAAAGTGCAAAATCTCTCCAAGTGTTTTGTTTTGTTTTGTTTACTTGATTTGTCGTCATTGCTGCTTTTGTTTATGATGATTTGACGTATCAAGTGACTGTTGTGCTCACTTTAACTGGATGTGGAAGGATGCATTGTTTCACATTGCAGAGAGGTCATGAGACTTTCGCTTGTTTTCTACACAGGACATGAATTGAGGTCAGGTATATATATATATTTTTTTCTTTTTCAGCTTTATAGCATTGGTTTATATATTTTTTAAGAGCACTCTTGCTGCTGTAGCCTATAGAGTTGTACTGCTTCTGTGTCTGCTTTGCCTTTTTCTAATGTCCACTGCTCAGAATTGTTTGACACAGATGAAGGAGTTTGTGCTTGTGCTTGGACAGAAACACGGACCACTAAGTCTTAGGATGGGAAAGTAAGCAAGGCTCTGTCACGTGCAGGCATGTCCTCGCTTTTGTCAACTCTGTATTGAATTTTAATGAAACTTTATTGCGCTGCGTCCACCTGCTTCTGCAAGGCCTGTGAATGTAATTGTGAGTAAAGTCGCACTGAATGATTTGGGGAAAAATATCCAATTGTGATATTTTTCATTGCGATTTTTGATTTTTTTTAAAAATTTGTATTTTAATAGGGTTCAGTTCAAAGGCCACGTTTTAAATCAGAAGAACTGACATAAAGACACAGACTGACCAACTAATACAAGATTTCAAAACAAGTTTGCTACAGAACTAATTACATGTTTATATCCCGTCTTCTTTTGCATACAAACTGCTATTGTTGTTTGTGAAGGGATTACTAGAACTACCAAAATTGCAACCTTTGTGATTGGCTAATTAAATTACGATTTCAATTGTGATTCATCTTGCTGTCCTAGAGTTGAGTTGACCAGCCGGCTTTTAGTTGATCATTTGTTCAAACTAGATTGTTTTTCATCAATTTTACTGAGAAATTGCCTTGAGAAATAATTGGGCAGAATAACATTAATATATATATATATTTTCTTTTGATAGTGACTTCTTTCAACCATGGAGCTGAGAGTGGGGAACAAGTATCGGCTCGGGCGGAAGATAGGAAGTGGTTCTTTTGGAGACATTTATCTTGGTAAGTGATTTAGCTCATTAAAACGATTGACCTGGCATTGTATGTTCTATGTTAGGGCTGCAGAGGAAAATGTAACCAACCACAGTCTCTCATAGACGTATCTGTATTGTTTGATCCATGTTTAAGTGTGTGTGTATTTGCCTTTAGGTGCGAATATTGCCACTGGTGAAGAGGTCGCCATCAAGCTGGAGTGTGTAAAGACCAAACATCCACAGTTACACATTGAAAGCAAATTCTACAAGATGATGCAAGGAGGAGGTACTGATTAGCCAGGACTTTGACTTAATCCGACAGAGTTTTAAAGGACATTTGACAAGTCGTCATGCTTTTCTAATGACTTCGTTTGGTGGGATAGTACCTGTGGTCAATATTTATCATATTTTTACACCAGGCAAATGACACTTGACTGAAAAGTTGCAAAAATGAAAGGAAGTAGTGCTGAGTTCTAAAAAGGATTCCTCTGTCACTACTACATAAAATTCAATTCAAAATGCAGGGGCAATTTACACACAGTTTAAATATTAAAAATTACTATTGTGTAAATTGGACAAGCTTTAGCCCTTGTTTAAAGTGTGGTTGCTAGGTCACATCTGCTGCTTAATGTCCACCCAGGAACTAAAATATTAAACCACCAATATTGTCTAACAAGAAAAAACTTTGCAAGATATTTTAGCAAAAACTAAAACTCTAAAATATTATTATGATGAATGTGAGTGAAATGAATAGTCTTAACACCTGTCCTATGCAGTTTTTTGGATGATACAATGCTGTTTTCGTTGGCTTCTTGGTAAACTTGTCTGAAACCTAATGGAAAGCATGTGGAATGCCATAGTCAGTCTTTCCTGTGATAACATTTAGAATCAGTGCTGTTTGCTAACTGTGTGCGTCTCCATTTGTTTTAGTGGGAATTCCTTCCATAAAGTGGTGTGGTGCTGAGGGAGACTACAATGTGATGGTTATGGAGCTGCTTGGCCCAAGTCTAGAAGACCTGTTCAACTTTTGCTCCAGGAAGTTCAGCCTCAAGACTGTGCTGCTGCTGGCTGACCAGATGGTAGGCCACAAACCTTGATGTTTATTGATGAGAAATGTCTGATGTCAGTAACATTGGCATTTCTTTTAAATGAGCTTTTGCATTAGCCGCATTAGCCTTGTTAAACACTCACTGACTTGTTGTTTTTCAACTGTGGTTTGATTTTCAAGTATTTGCTTTCACACATTCTGTTACTAGTTGTTTACCTCAAAACGCAACAACCCCCTTTTTTCATTTATAGAATTAGAATAAGTTTTATTGCCATTGTTGAGTGTTCATGACAGTAGAGAGGAAGAAACTTCTTGTGGTGAGAGATTCTGGTCTGAACGGATCGTAGCTTGCCCGAGAGGTGTGGCTCAAATTGTCCGTGTCCAGGGTGACAAGGGTCAGCTGAGCTCCCACCTGATCGCCCCCCTAGCACGACAAGTACTACAACTATCTTGTATTTTACACAGAGGGGCTCTTATTGATTGGTTTGAATGTCATTTCTAGACTAAAATCACAGGTGCAGAGTGAACCAATCTGAATGACTTAAACTTGTGTAGTTGTACGTAATACTTATATCCAGTTTATCGCCAGGCTACTCCTTTGAAGATTTATGAATTATGTAAGAATGACCCACATTGTCATTTTATTTCCTCTTACTTCATGTTATATATAAATATTGTACTAGAGTCCGGGCTCTGTTTTTTTTCAAAATGTACGCCCTTATGTATTTCTGATTTTTGTCTCATGCAATTCATGGGTGCTGTTTATTATTCAACAGTATTTTAGCTCTGCATTTTTAAGGCTGTATTTATTTATTTGCCTTTTAATGTATATGTCTTTTCATCTGTAGACTCAATATCACTTTCCTTCTCCCTCTTTTTTCCCTCCACTTAGATAAGTCGTATTGAGTACATCCACTCCAAAAACTTTATCCACCGGGATGTAAAGCCTGACAACTTCCTCATGGGGCTTGGAAAGAAAGGAAACCTGGTTTATATTATTGACTTTGGGTTGGCCAAGAAGTACCGTGATGCAAGGACACACCAGCATATCCCGTACAGGGAGAACAAAAACCTAACTGGAACAGCCCGCTATGCCTCCATCAACACACATCTAGGAATTGGTAAATACTTTGGAGACTTTTTCCATTCTGCTGTTATAACAATCATAAAAACATGCCTGAAGAGGTTTTAGATGTCAGTCATGCATGTTTGTGTAATATAGCAATCGCTGCCTTATTCGAACGTTTAGCTGTAAGATTCTGTGCAATGCTCAGCCCAGAAGCCTATGCTCTCACATGACAATTCTCCATAAATATACAAAAGCAGGATACTAAAATGTACAGAACAGTTTGACAAATCTGATGTGATGTGCATTAGGTTCATTAGTGGGATGAACGCTGATTGTGTTGTGGTGGCACTCTGAAGGGGAAGTGAATTTGCATGGGGAGCAAAGGGAGGGGAGGCGAAAATAGCATTTAAAACTGTGAAAGGTAACTTTGTGATGTAAATATGTTATGTGTTAGCAGTTAATAGTCCATAAAAGTGTAATACCCCCTTCTAATAATGACGACTACTGTTTTATGAGCTGAACGGCATTCATTATAATAATTATTATTTTTGTCCTGCAACTTCAGTACGTCTTTGCAACCACATTGTATTTGTTTTGAACTATAAATGCGTCCAGCTCAGCCAGGATGTGTCACCAGTGGCTTTGTTGTTGTACTCGGCAAACTTCCTGTAAATCATTCTTACACACCGCTGTACTCTCTCCACACACAGAGCAGTCGAGGCGTGATGACTTGGAGTCTCTGGGTTATGTGCTCATGTACTTCAATCTGGGCTCGCTGCCTTGGCAGGGACTCAAGGCCGCTACCAAGAGACAAAAGTATGAGCGAATCAGTGAAAAGAAAATGTCCACACCCATCGAGGTCCTGTGCAAAGGATACCCCTGTAAGTAAGCACAAGCTAACACCGAGCTTAGTCAGATGATGCCCAAATCTTAATTTAAGCCCTTTTACTGGAGTTTTGTCAGAAAGGGAATTGTACTATTGGATATAGAGCTCCAGTTAATGCAACACTGACGAGAAATAATCTAATGATCTCAGACCTGTAAAGTGAAAATGGCAGATCATCTCCTCATCCTCTGCAAGGGGAATTCAGTTAGGGTCCAGTTAGTGAGACGACTGGGTCAGAGTCTGACCCAGGCCTCTTCCTCACCTGCAGTGATTTGTGTCTTGTTAAAGCTGTTGAGGTGTTATTGTACTTAGGAAAAACAGAGAAAAGAACAAGTGTTATATCTCTCTCCTCTCTTCTCCTTCAGCTGAGTTTTCAACATACCTGAATTTCTGCCGCTCACTCCGTTTCGACGACAAGCCTGACTACTCTTACCTCAGACAACTTTTCAGGAACCTTTTTCACCGACAAGGTTTCTCCTACGACTATGTTTTTGACTGGAACATGCTGAAATTTGTAAGTTTAAAACACATTATGTAGCTTTCAAACATTGTGTAAGAAACGTATATTGTAATAATTATGGATTATGTTCTCAGGGAGCCAGCAGGACGGCAGAAGACGGAGACCGGGACAGGCGGACAGGAGAGGAGAGAGATGAGCGCATTGGGGGCGCCCCTCGAGGGTCAGCAGCCCGGGGCATCCCACCAGGCCCCAATCCTGGAGCTGCCAACAGAGTCCGCAATGGTCAGGAGCAAGCCATGTCCAACCCTGCCTCCCGTGCAGCAGTCTGGTGAGTTCTGATAGCATGATACATTAGATTAGATACATTTCACTTTGATTTTTGTTTTCTTTTATACATCTTAAATGCAACATATAGGGAACTCATCACCACGTGCAATTTCTCGTGCAGAGAGGGAGAGGAAGGTGAGCATGCGTCTACACAGAGGCGCTCCTGCCAACGTGTCGTCATCTGACCTCACCGCTCGGCATGACCAGTCTAGAATTTCCACATCACAGGTAAATGGTTACATGTCTGGTCATTGCTAAACCTTCATCTAAACTCATTAAAGGGGTAAATGGCAATGGTAGAACTTTGTACCGCTGTAAAATGATTGGATTGTAGCAGTGTTGGGCATGTTACTCTGGAAAAGTAATAAGCCTACTGATTACTATAAATTAATTTGAAGCAAAAAGACAACTTACTACCCAGGAACCATGAAAATTACATTAAAGATGAACTATGTAGTTTTTCTGGTGGAGTACAGTCCTTGCAGTGCTTATCTCCTAGCATGTTATTGCTTTGCCTGGAATATTGTACAGTATGGCATAAAACGCTTCCATCTTCATGGAAACAAGCAAGTGATGTTGGTACAGGTCAGATCTGTGGAGTGTCAAAACTTCTGAAAGTAACAATGCATGGTTTTCTATGTATTTTTGAGCAATAAAAACACTTGTAATTGAGTAATTGCAAGATGGACACGTTTAATGGCATTCTGTGAAATTCTAGTCAAACCACATTCAGACTGGCAGATTGTAATTTTTGTAGTGGGAAGGTCCACATAGTGTGTACCTTTTTTTAAGATATAATGATAAAATATTTAAAGATAATACATTCTGGCCATTTATTTGAATCTATGAAAGTAGAAGCAAGTGACATTTTAAAAATTATTTCTAATGTTTGTTTGGTATATTTTAATTCTGTCATGGCCGTATTTTCATTTTGCAACACGGTCGCATTTGATGCATTTTACTCAGGAAAGTAATGTACACTTCCAAAATTTTAAATTGCCCCTGTTACTATTAAATTAATCTAATTACAGTAGTCATACTTGTTACTGCCCAACCCTGGATTGGAGACACAACATAATTGTGCCAAAACAATTTAACAACAAAGAAACAGGTTATGTTAAAAAAAAATCATAAGATACAAAACAGTGACACCCTTGCATTCATTTGGCATCGTTGCACTGAATTTGGGCAGCAGCTGAAAACTCACTGTTTTGTTATTGCCAGGCCAGATAATCCTGAATTCAGCCTTCATCGCTCATGCAATGGTATTAAAGACAAAAATATTGAAGAAGATTTTTATTTTATTTTCTGCTACAGGTCAGCGTGCCATTCGAGCACATGGGGAAGTAAAGCCCCGAATCAGCCTCTAATGTTCAGGTATTGTTGCTTTGTCATTGAAAAATGTAGTTGTCTGCCAATCATGGCTAATGAAATATTTGATCTGATTACAGGGCTAAGAGGATTTCTCTAGGCTCCAGTATGTGTTTTTACCTTCTTCTGCAAGACTGATGCCATGGACACATGGACTTGTAAAAAAGAACAATAAATCCAAATGATTAAAAAATCCACTTTTTACTGTTGAAGCAAGGATCACCACCACAATTCAAAAAGGAAAATGTCCGACAGTGTTGCATCTTTGTTGCCTACGGGTTCCTTTACACATTCCCACGGTGTTAAATGTGAAGAACTTTTCATTTATGTTTTAGCACTACATGAGATTCATTGATCATGTTTCGAGATTTCGAGAGCAACAGCAGCTACGAAAGTGGATATAGGTATGTGAAACGTTCTGATGTCAAGAAAGGCAAAATAGTGGGATAGGTAAGTTTATAAGCTGTTGTACAGTCATTTTTGTTTCATACCACATGACTTGGTTCATGTTTTATTTAAAGTCCATCCAAATCCCCAGCTCCCCTGCCTTTTTACTGTTTTAGTTTGGTAAACTGAAGAATTGACCATAGATATTGCAATGACTCACTTCTGGGGGACAAATGCCTCAGGAAATTTTCTGTTGACCATAGCTGTGTATACCAGCTAATTCATCAAAGCTGCAATTTTTATGATGGTTCTTAATCTTACCTTTTTATATTTTTTGTTATTGGAAAATTATACAGGACTGGGAGCAGACTCATTAAGCAAAAGTCTGGGTGGGGTATTTTTCCTTTTTTAATGTTCACTGTAAATATTTTTTTTTAATTTGTGAAAGCCAAAATTGTGGTTCTGTTTAAGTAGAAAAAACACTTTCTTCTGGATTGAATTTGGGTCAGAATTTAGCATATTGAAAATGACTAAATTGTGAGAAGGGGTACTTTTACTGTGCCAGCTGGGTCACTTCACTTTGTATGACTGATTAGTACAAATATTCCCTGCATACATTTTTACATTTTGTTCCCATATATATATATATATTATTTGATTTCCGCCCTTGACAAGCAACACTGGGGTATTACCTCTAGCAAAAATATGTTGTGATAACAACTTTTGGATTACACTTTTTAATGTCTCTAAAATGGTAATGCAAGTTTGGCAGGGATACGTGTAAATAGCATAAATGTATTGTGTGTAATTACTTGTACAGGCCATCATGACCCAGTGGCATTGTAATAGTTTAGTTTGGGGTTCTGGGGAATTCACTTTATGTATGGTGTACTGATATCTTGTACAGTTCTTTAACACACTTTATTTACAGTATTTGTGTATATTTTATGAAGTAATAAAAATGAATAATGTTGCTCACAAATCAGTAGGCACCTTTTGTGTGATATTTTGCTACAGTTGGGATTACTTTGAACATGGTCAGAGCACAGATGTTTATTTCTCATGGGGTATATATATGATCCCTTTTTTTTATTTGTCATCGTATGTTTACATTATATATTAATACATACATTGAAATAATACCAGGTGTTTTAAGAACAGAATACTGTTACAATACAAAGATATTAGACAAACTATTGATCCACAAGGGAAATGATTTGGCACGCACTAGGTGACACATCACAATATATTATAACAGAGTAAAAATATAAATGGTAATAATAATTGTAGTAATACATTCTAAATAATATAAACATCATATAAAGTATTTTTGCATTTCAAGAGTTATCACAGTTTTGAGGTTTGAAGAAGAAGTTTCCTCTATTTTGTTTATGTACTATTGTACATAAACAGGAGAAGGAGTTTTACTATTATATGAAGTTTGTCTAAAATTATTATTGATTATATAGAAATAGATCTTTTTAGTCTCCATATATTGTAAAAGCCAAACAGTTCATGCATGTACATGAGTGAAAAGTCGTTAAGAATATGTATATGGGATATAAGAAGTCTTTCAGATACATTTTGCTCTGGTCATGTTGGTCAAAGGTTTGTTACATCACTCCCACAGAACAGACGCCAACATGCACCGCGCATGCGCACTCACAGTTTCGCTGGAGTCTTGAATGCAGCTGATGATGTGGAGGAAATAACGGTGCCAGCTTCACCATTGCTTGGCTTAAAATGTATTTTATTCTGTATATTGCACTGAGCGTCGTAGATATTTGATTTTTCGTTTATTTTCATTTCATCGATCGTTGTGTTTTGAAGTTTAAGCGCCAGGAAACACAACAAAGCTGGAGTCGGGCTAAATTGTGCTAGCATTTGCTAAAGCAGTGGACGCTCTGCTGCAGCCACCTGGCAGCTTCGAAGAAAGATTTTTATAGTTTCCTTTTAGCCGGAGTATTTTTTTTTATGTTTAACGTGTTGATGTTGTACCTTTTTGGACTTGATGGACTGGGTTACATGTGAGCTAAATTGATGAATCGTTTCAAAGCAGGCAGAGTCAAACTACAGAGGAGGTGAGTTAAAAAAAACAAACATCATAAACATGGATAACATCAAAACAAACCTGTGTTTTCCCCAAAGCTAAACAATATAACATTGTCACTAGAGCAAATGCAAATCCTGCTGTACATTATACATATTAATAATGTGTAATAAGACTTATACTGTAATGTGTTGCCTTGTGTTTTATTTTGTGCCGCCCTCCACATTTTGCGGAGCTGTGGTGATGCCTGGTGAACGCAGCTCCAATGCTCTCATGTTTGGAGCTTTCAGCCTGAGGATTCAACAGTGTGACAATGAGAGCTGCTGAATCGATTGGGGTCAATGTACAATGCGTGTTTTGAAACGTTGCCACGGGTGCAGCGGGAGGACTGATGGGCTGCCTGCCTTTTGGCCTTTACCCATACACAGAGTCTATTAACCCTCAGCAGTAATAAACCCAGCAGACAGTCACAGGCCTAGTTTCTATCGTAGTCGTCTTTATATTTAGGTTAGAGGAAGGATGTTGTTACCATGGCTACCATTGTAACCATGGCTCAATAATGACAAGGACTGTGTTATTGATTTGAACGATATTTTTTTTAATTATTTTCAATAATCGATTATAGTATGAAGATGTGACGATCACACACACTTCTAAACACTTGCCGTTCACAGGACCCTGTTTCCTGGTGACACACTGTGATGTGTTTCAAGTTACTGCAGCGCCACAGCTTTTGTGAACAAGCATGACTCATCCATGTCAAGTAACAGCCTATGTTTAGCTAGTGCATCTGGGAGCACAGACTGTTTACAGAAAAATCTAATTAAATAATGACATTTGTGACTTCCTCAAATCCGGGAAAATTACTTGTTGAACAGATGGAAGTTATAAATAAAATTATAAGATCTTTGTGCCCATTATCCATACAGCGACAGATCAAATGTGCATTTCACTTGGTAATTAGGCATTGTCACCACATGGAGCCAGAAGCAAATGCTATTTGCCATTGACTGGCCACAATAAATGCCCCATCTTTAATGATGAGATTCAAGTAGTTGGTTTATTTAGTAGTCTGCACAGTGATAATGCAGTAATGTGTACAGAATAATGGCATGGCAAAATTTATACAGTGTTCAAAAACACTGGATTAGGTTTTAGCCTTGGAGTGTGAGACCTTAAAACAGTGGACAATAAGTCCTACATTAAATATTTAAAATCAGTCATACTTTAAATGTATAAAAGTTACAAAGATCCTTTGGAGATTATCAAGATTCCTCATCCTATTTATATTTGTTAAGCTTGTGTCTGGTCTCTATTGTGATGAAAATCAAAGCTAAGCCTGGTGCTGCGGTGTAATTGTTGTTTTGCTCAGTCTCTGTCTCAGATAAGCACCGGAGAAACACAGAGGAACTGGGTCATCTGCTTCTGCTCAGAGCTGTTTTATTCAGCTATGCTTCAGCCCACACATTTGGGTGAAAGTGCTTCTTTTCTCTATTCAGTGTGCTTCAGTGTCACATGTCCCTGCTGCGTACCAGTTGTAATATTTTTTTATTTATCTTTGCATTGAATAGTCCTTTTTCTTGGTTTGTGCAGATGACTCGACTTTGGAAGAGAGATATACCCCTGTCCCAGAGATTAGGTAATGACTCGCTGACTGCTCTGGCCCCGGGGCCCCCAGCCACTGTAACTCCAAAGGGCTCCAACACGTCATGGGTCCCAGAAGCCCCTGTGGTCACCCCAGAGGAGCCCTTCTTCCTCATGACCTCCACAGCTCAGACCATCTCAGGAGTCTTTGTGTGGACCGCTCTACTCATCACGTGTCATCAGGTGAGTACAGGAACCAAAGACACTGGGTTGATTCACCAACTTCACCCTCTCAAATGAAAGAGACAGTGACTTTTATTTTTTTTAATTAAGTTAACAGCTGTTGTAAAGGGGATTTATTCTCATTGATGTTTTGGTCTATGTGGCCTCTCAGGAAAAGGGGAAATCTGTGAATGGGGTCATAAGGTGAGGGGGCTGGGGGGGCTGAGCTGTTTTGTGCTAAAGAAGCAGCATTTGCTTCACTCTTACATTTGGTTACTGCTCAGTGCTCATGCTACACACTCTATTCTGCTATTATGTAAGTGAGGGCTGTTGAGCCCAAGGCTATTGTTTGTGTTTGTCTTTTATTGTACAGTGCCTCTCTTTACATAGAGTCAAAGAGCATCTCTTCATCACTCTGGCAACAGGTGCTGCCTGCCACGACCATCAAAGAGCAGGCCGTATATGTGCGTTCATGCTCAGGAGGAAGCCAGGTCACTTAACAACCAGAGTGCCCTGTCTGGGATAGTGGGTGTGATGTTTTTACAGAGGTGTGTGTGTCTGTTTTGGGGCCAGTAAAGGTGACAATGGAAGGGCAGGCAAATGGAAAAGCTGCCCTATGATTTAGTGTAGATCCATCTGCTCCTCCTGTCGTCTGCTGCTGCTCTCAAAAGGTTAAAAAAGAAGAATTAGTTTGACAAAACATAAGGCTCTGACACAGTGGACAACACTACAGCAGGAACATAGGTCTGCAGAGTTATAAACACTGATGAGTAAAACTGTTGCAATAATATAGTTGGCAATATGTGAATGCTTCATTAAGAAGTTAAAGTTTGAGTATAACAAGGCTAATCTAAATCATAGTCTTTGTTGTAACCTTTATTGTAACTTTTCCATCCATAGATCTATATGCACCTGCGCTATTACAGCTCTCCCAATGAACAGAGGCACATCGTGAGGGTCCTCTTCATTGTCCCCATCTACGCCTTTGACTCCTGGCTCAGTCTCCTCTTCTTCACCAATGAAGAGTACTATGTCTACTTTGACACAGTCCGAGATTGTTACGAAGGTGAACCTGTGTTAAAAGTGCACTCCCTGTTAAAAGTAATCATGTAAGATTTATGTCTTGTGATACCCCAGTGGCAGATGGCCTTTTGCAGTGTCTTCCTTTAAAGAGATTGCTCATCTTTGTTCTCATGTCTTTGGGTCTGTTGAGATGCAATGGATTGGAAACAAGTCTCCTAGCAACATCACAAAAAGAGCAAACCCTTGTTTTTTTGGGGTGTTTGAATTTTGATTATATGTGTAGGAAAATGTATACTTTCATGAAATAGTTGGAAGTATCATTTGGTTAAAAAAAAAACTTATAATGTGCAGTTGAGAGATAGTATTTAAACTAGAAAAGCACTCAGAGAGCGCAGACCTCCGCCAAGGACTACCCCCATTTTTTATATAAATTGCGATAAAATCAGTCTTCTGGATCAGATCCGGATCAGCCTTTGGAATATGAAAGAGGATCCCATTGTCCATCCCTGAGTCAAATTTCATGGTGTTTGGTCAATAATTAACCGAGATATTGAGAAACAAAATTTTTGCCCCATTTACCACAATGTTAACTAAAATTTCAAAGTGATCCAGAATCCAGGATTTCTTCCGGATCACCCCCAAAAATGAAATCAGTTCTTCCTTTTCACATTTCCAACAAATCCTGAAAATTTCATCAAAATCGGTCCATAACTTTTTGAGTTATGTTGCTAACAGACAAACAAACAAACAAACAAACAAACAGACAAACGCCGGCAAAAACATAACCTCCTTGGCGGAGGTAAAAATACTTGCAAAATATTCTGACTTACTAACATACAGTTCTTTGCGAAATCTGGTAATAAATTGGTACTAATACTTGTACTTGTTTCCAGCTTTTGTCATCTACAACTTCCTCAGTCTGTGTTATGAGTACCTCGGAGGGGAAAGTGCAATCATGGCAGAAATCCGAGGAAAGCCCATTGAGTGAGTTTGATCTTGACTTCATTCACATAATCGAAGCCTGTGCTCTTTCTAAACTCACTGTGACTTTTAGGTCCAGCTGTATGTACGGGACGTGCTGTTTGTGGGGAAAGACGTATTCTATTGGTTTTCTCAGGTTTTGCAAGCAGGTAACTTGACGTCACAGAGTTATTTCAAAATTTTTACAGTAAAATACTAAGGATTATATTTCTTTTCTTTCATCTTTCAGGCTACTCTTCAGTTCTGTGTGGTCAAACCTTTGATGGCCATGATTACCGTCATCCTGCAAGCTTTTGGGAAGTACAGAGATGGGTACTTCAGGTAAGTAACATTTTATCCAGTACAAGGGCGTAGGTTTGCATCGACGGTGTGACATGTCTCACCAATATTTGGGGAAGACAAAATAGTCCCAACCAATATTTGCCTTTTTATTTTAATAAATTCATTCCCATTTTTTTCCAAACTCAATAGTATTAATTTAACACGTTTTAGTTCACATTTTGTTTATTAGACGTTCTGAGATGTATTCAGTGATGTGACAGGGTTACTCCTGCTGCTATTTCATTGGCTGCAAGAGAGTGATGTCATTAGTGGAGCCAGGAGCCTAAAGTGGGGAAGCAGCAGGACGGTGTCAGCACCCGAAGATGGCGGCTTGAGCAGAGAACTTACTTGGCTTCATCTTCAGCTCGCAACGAAAAAAGAGCGACTATTGCCACAAGTGCACCTCTCAAACAATATTACAATATTATTAAATTATTACAACAGTATTCCATGGAAAAGTACGGACATTACCTCACAAATATCTCATCACCAACAAGCAAAGGGAAATCTGCTACAAACATCTACACCGCTGTTATCCAGTAAAGAATAATCTTAGAAGGGCAATGGACACAAACTGTACATTTTGCGAACTGAAAAATGAAACCGCCTCTCATTTATTTTGGAACTGCCCAGACTCTCTGTGTTTTTGGAAATAATTCATAAAACATATGCTCAACTTCTTATCCCATTTTACCCTTTCTTATAAAGTGTGCTGTTTGGTTTTTGCTGTGTGCATCACAGGGAGGGGGGTGGGGGTGGGGGTGGGGTGTAACTGATAATGTCCCCACCAGAGCTGAGACCAAACCTACGCCCTTGATCCAGTAATACCATTGAAGTATGACGAATATTGTGTTCTTACTCTACACCAAAACTTTATTGTTTATCTTGCATACCCTTACATGTAACAAAAATGTTGAAATTGAATGCCTTTCTTCTCTTTAGTGTGAACAGTGGCTACCTGTATGTGACCATCATCTACAACATCTCCGTCAGTCTGTCACTCTATGCTCTGTTCCTCTTCTATTCGCCACACGGGAACTGCTCATCCCGTACAGTCCAGTGCTCAAATTCTTCATGGTTAAGTCCGTGATCTTCCTCTCCTTTTGGCAAGGTAAGAAAGTATGTCTTGCAGAACCAGAGACTGTATAAATGGACAGAATTCGCTAGCCGTGCGTTCCAAACACTGAGTGTCCGTGGGGGCGCTTCCAATTCCATCGACTCTTTCCAATTGACTTTATATTGAAAAATCTTCATCCCTCACTCTGTAACTGCTGCATTCTCATGATTTTCTTTTTCTTAAAATGTTCGTATTACTGAACCAAAATAATATAATATGAGCTAGACAAAATCAGTGATGGTCTTGACAAGTAAATTACCCCAATCACTTTGCCATTAAGCGTTTCCTGTATTTATTTGCTACATACATAAAGCAGTATTTTACAGTTTGTCCATTGTAAACCACAATATTGGTCTAAATAAATAGTAAATAGTCTTTTTAGTGTCTTTTGTGGACTGCAGCTGGAAAGAAGCTTGTAGCTAAATCTGGCGCAGAGCATGTTTCCTCTCTGAGATTCATGTTTTCTGTGCACTGTCCTTGTTTTAAATCAATCAAACAATAAATAAAACATCTTAACAGTAGAAACGGGTCCACTGACTTCTTGTTCAAAATGGCAGAGTAGATAGGTTTGCTTCTTAGTTGCAAGCAGCTTTTTTATTGTTGAAAAATGCCAATGTGTATGACTATGACCCAGGACCACATGTGCGGAGCAGCGGGCGAAGATAGGGGATAGATGAAAACAGGAATTTTCTGAACAGCCAAGCTTCGAATGCAGAACAATACACGATTACTCAAACATCCATGAATCTATAATATGTATAAAACTCTTAAGTAAGCAACACCATCATAACATTCTTAAAAGCTCTGTCAGTAATAATATGTCTTGAATCTCTTGTTTAGGGATGCTCTTGGCCATCATGGAAAAGTGCGGTGCCATCCCTGAGATTAATTCTGCTGACGTCTCAGTCGGAGAGGGGACTGTTGCCGCGGGATACCAGAACTTCATCATCTGCATTGAGATGTTCTTTGCTGCTGTCGCTCTGCGCCACGCTTTTACCTACAAGGTGTACATGGACAAGAGACTGGACTCCTACGGTAGGGACTATGGGTCTACTGGCATTCTTTATTTGTCTTAACATTTCTTGGTATTTCTTCTCTGTTTACATATTTCATTTTGGGAATCTGACTCCTTAGTATCACTCTTGTCTTATCTGCACTTAACTGCACCTTTATCTTGACTCTTCTCTTTTCTCTCACTCCTCGGCTCTCAAAGGCTCCTTTCCCATATACGGACAGTACGGTAGGTTAGATGTCAGCTTCATTTGTGATGTTTCTGTGGTTGTTTGGTCTTGTTATATTGTAGTAGATTGAATTAAGCATCAGTTTATATTATTTTGCTTATTTTGAGTTCCTCAGTTGTCCTTCGCTCCGCTGGCATGTTTTTTGTTTTGTTTTTTTTACTCAGTGGTTTGTGTTCATTCTGGGAGATTATCGCTTATGTTACAAAAAATATAAAGTTGATATATATTTATAGTACTACCCCATTTCCATTTGTACTGCATTAGCCACCATTAACCTGTCAGTGTGTGTCACTATTGTAAGAGTCAGAAACCTGCACGGCAGATGGAACCTCTAATGAATGCTTATACATGTGGACAAATAGTCTTACTAAAAACAGTGTGCTTGCAACTAATTTACCAAGAAAGAATTAGACAGACACTCATGGATAAATGCTACTCCCATCCTCCTCCTATTAGATTTATTTTTTTATTTTTTATTTTATTCAGAAAAATTAAAAAATCTACGACTTCAAAACAAATTCCCACCTTCAGAGAATTAATTTTAACACCTTCCCTGTATAAAAACATAACTTTTTTTTCATATTATTCATCTTTGAAACCCTTTTTTATTGTTTATTTTTATTGTAAATCAGTCAATAGATTGCTCTTGCTCCCCTCAGGTCGCTGTGCTCCGATGAAGAGCATCTCCAGTAGTCTGAAGGAGACCATGAACCCAGGAGACATGGTGCAAGACGCTATCCACAACTTCTCCCCGGCCTATCAGCAGTACACACAACAGTCCACTCTGGAGAGGAGTGGGGGTCCGCCCCTGTCCCGCAGCCATAGCAACATCAGCACCAGAGGAGACAATGAGAAGACCCTGCTGCTCAGTTCAGATGATGAGTTTTAACATTCAACAGATCCTTTATCTAAAACAGATGTGCGAGGCAAATCAGGACTTTGTGCTATATGCTTATACTTTAGGAAAGTGGAAAATGAAATCAGGGAGTATTGTTAGTATGTGATGATGAAGAGGTGTCAGGATGTCAGGGTGAGTTCAGAGTGCTTTGCTTATATTAAGGCCAATACTCACTATTGATGATCCTTACTTTGATAACTGTGCCTGTTACTCCGCTACACAGTTCCTTACACAAGAATTCTAAGTGCCATCTTTTTGTGTGATGCTTGGCCTTTATCGCTTTGATACTAACTTAGTCCACACACTTCTCTCCCTTTGCCAAGTCTGCCTCTGATTTGAACATTGCCAAATTAAGGGCCAGGAATTGCTGCTCTTTAATGAAACGCACTGCTTAGAGATTTACATTAAATTTAAGTCTTATTGGCTGTCAAACTACTTGACTTAATTAAGTTTAAAGATTTATATTATGCATTATTTTATGTTGCAATGTGTACAACCTTTAAGGTACAAATGAGTTGGAAAGTTCTTATTCCAGAATGTGGAAGATGTTCCGTTAAAGATGCTGTCATTTAGTCGTGAGTTTTTTCAGAGTTAGTTAGTTTGTGTTTTGTTTGCACTGAAGGAACAGCTGTTGCACAGATTTTCGAACAGGGGCCAAAGCTGCTGGAGGACAACGCCCACGCACGTTACAGATTACAGATTAGGGAGAAGCAACACGTCGTTCCAAAGGCTGTACAGCTGTGGTGAGCAGCCCCAGGGGATTGTAATCTCATCACCATTTACAGATCACAGCTACCTCTGCTGGTCGACTTCTACAATGACACTATGTTGTGTAGATTTACTGTTTAACTAAAGACCATGAGGAGATGGTCTGGCATGGTCTTTGCTCTTTCTCTAAATAGCAAAATGGGAATGTATTAAATTGTAGCTATTTTAAAGTGATATCTGAGCTTTTAGCTGCTTCAGTCAGTCTCTATAGTGGTGTTACCAGAAGCAAAAGAAAGTAGCCCCAACAAATCGTTCCATCTTTTCCAATGCTGCCTTTGCTGTATCCCACCATGTTTTATCTGTTGTGGTTAAGATCAAACCTGTATTAGAAAATTGTGATGAATAAATGCCAATTGTACATTTAATAATGATTACAAAACAAACACTGTCTTTTCGTTTTGGGTAGGCAGCTCAATAATTGAACACATGTAAATTATTTCAGGTTATGTTGACTTTAAAAACAGCTTCCTTAGAAACACTTTTCCCCTAAATCACTGCTTTTTAAACTTTTTTTTCTATTTAAAATGCTATTAAATAGTTTTGATACTTAAACTGATAGAAATGCTGTAATATCAAAGCTGACAATATTTAACCGTAAAATATTCTATAAAATTGTTGTACATAGATTTACACTTATGAAATGTGAATTCTGATTGTATGACCTGGTGCGTGCAGTGTGTCCCTTTGACGTTTTCATATTAATTGCAGTCTCGCTTTGTTGAATGCATTTGTATATTTGGTATATTGTTCAGGGTTTGATGCTCTATATCTTATGTTGGCAGTAGAAAAAGGTAATAAAAATCAGTTCAAAGTTATTTGTGAAACCGTTATCTGTTCATTCATGAGATATGTTAGTCACTGAAACAAGAAGGCCAGCAGGTGGCAGAAGAATTGTCCTGTGAATGACTGAATCACACGTCTCCAAAATGCATTGAGACAAATATTTATCTCACTCTAAATATTTAGCTTTTAGAAATAATGGAAAGTTTTAACAAAAGCACCACAATTGAATTTCAGTCTTCATTCACTAACAATTCAGTCTTGATAGTTGTATTGAAAGTATTTATTAGAGTTTTTTTTTTCACATTTAAATTAACATTAATATTTTGAACTGGTTAAATGCTTATTTTACTCACGTCTGTACTTTCAAACATTTCCCATGTTCCAGAAAAGAAACAAATCCATTCAGAATGTTCTACATAATTTCCATTGTTATTTACACGTTGAGAGCAGAGGAATGAAATCCAAAATGACCGACATGCATTGCAAAACAAGTTCTACGCATCTGGGGCAAACCTTGTCTATTTCATGATGTAAAATGTATATATGCTAAAGTAAAATTACAGAATATTATTGTGGACATGTAACGCATGTAAAATGAATGAAAAGTTCTGCAAAAGAGGCACATACGGCTGATGATACAGTAAATTCTCCAGTTTGGGCCAGAATCACAAATATTTTAAAATTCATTCTCAGATTAGAAGGTGCACTTGATTGACATGACAGATTAGAATCTTTAGTGCGTGAAGCATGCATACCAAAAATGGAATTAAAACAAAGATCCTAAAATGAAGCACACCAAATGATTTACCCCTAATCAAATAGGATACATTTTGCAGGTGAAAGCAGGCACATACAGCAGACTAGCTCTAGACGCGTGAATTTGAAAGCATACACACAACACAATGACAAGGGAAAAATGCATTAATTGAAAAAGAAGTGTAGTATTTGGAGGAGAGTTGAGTTGTTTGAAGAGGAAGCAGAAAGTCAGTCAGTTTGGGGCATTTAAATGCTATAGGTTATCCCAGGTGTCCGGAGGTGGAAATTGTTCTAAAGTGCCGCTCTCCCTGTGTTCCTGCTCTCCCATTGTGAAGGCTAGTGTGTACTGCAGCTGCACTTTCTCCTAAAACAGACAAGACCAAAACAGTTTAGATTTCAATGTGCTCACCCACAACCACGAATACAAGAGACTACAGAATATTAGCTGGGATTTCACAACCAACAAGATGAACCATATACAACTTTCGGGGTGAGGATCTACCACATGCTCATTTTCGTGGCTTCCTATTGCTTTGCCTGGAATATTCCACAGTATTGCATTAAACTCATATTTCCACGGAGAACCACCAGGCCAAATTAGAGGTCAGATTGGTTGAGAAGAGATCCAGCCCACAGTAAGCATTAATGTTTTTCAAGGTGAGCAATATAAACACATTTGACAAATACAATTTATGCCATACTGTGAAAGACCCAAGCAAAACGATAGCTTCATGAGACAAGCAGGGGGCAGATCCCCACCTACCAGAAAAGTTATTGAGTGGCCAGCCAAAACCACATGCTTTTACAAAACTTTACAAAAACCTTTGAGTCTACAGTCCCTGACAAAAGTCTTGTCGCTTATCCATTTTGTAGAAACAAAAGCTTATAACTTGACTTTAAATTAATCGATTGGTTTTAGAAATGTCTCATATGAAAGCTAAAACCCTCCCAAATTATGCTCAATATACTAAAATAAATTTGCTTCACTGAAAAAAGACTGATCATTTAATGAACACAGAAAAGTCAGATTTTGGCAAGACAAAAGTTTTGTCGCCTACAGAAAATTGAACAAATAATTTACTTCAAATACAAAAATATGTTGCATAACGTCAGTGAATTAAGTGCTGTGAGATCCATACTTAAAGGTTGTATAGAGGATTTTCCAAGGAACGAGAAATCCAGCGACTGTTTGTCCTTTTTCAAATGTTGCGCATGCGTGAAACCACCCCCCCTCCCCTACAGCTCCCTAAGTAGAAACGCCTCCTCCCGCCTCCTCTTTACGCCAGAAACAGGTTTGTTTACAGCCGGTGCGCTGCACATGACTTGTAAACAACTAACTACAGTGTTGGTTAGGCAAGGCGGAGAAGTGAGGAGCGGGGGGAGCGGGTGTGCGGACATTTCGTTCGCGGACGAGAAGTGAGGAGCAGGGAGAAGAGGGAGAAGCGGAGCAGGGAGAAGAGCGGAGCAGGGAGAGAGGAGAGGGGAGCGGTGCGCGGAGATTCCATGCCCGGAGAAGTGAGGAGCAGGGGGAAGAGCAAAACGGGCAGCGGGGAGAGGAGCAGGAAAGGGGTGCAGAGAAGGTTGCGCGGAGATTCAGTGCGAATGAACTTGAAAATTACGTTTTCAGACATAGGATATCGCATTCGTGTCCTGAAAAACGTTTGTCTAGCTCTTGGAAATAAAGTACGTTTTCATAATAATAAGCAGAAGTGACCTGTCCAGGAGTAATTTGGCGACCAGTGCGTCAGTCTTTAGACCCTGCGTCTGCTTCAGTTGCGCCATCGCTGGAATGAATCTTCAAGAATCACCTTAGTTTGGCTTCGCTGCTTTTCCCCTTGTCTTCTTCTTTCAGCAACCTCAAAAACGGACTTTCTTTTGCGGCTAACTGCTCCTGGATTCTTGTCTGCCATTGCAACAAACTTAGTGCTAACTGCGAGAAAGATATAGGTCAAAAAAAGCCGCTAAGAACTGTTGCGTTGGTGGAGTAAACAGCGTCTGTGCGGCTTGCGTCTGTGGACTGCGTGACAGGCGTACGTAAACCACGTACCGGCGGCGCGCAGGCAAGTCAGTTACGCTAGAAACGTAGGGAGATTGATTGACAGCCTGTCAGCTAACAGATAACGAGGCAGTGTCGTTATCTATTGGCAAATGTTTAGCTGGCCCCACCACGTCCAGAGTTGATGAATTTTTATTCTCTTTTTTTTTTGGTCATCATAATAATTACAAGGCTACTGCACCTCTATAATGCTATCATTGACAATTTGAAACAAAAAAAAATCCTCCATACAACCTTTAAGTCAGACTTTTAGGACTTGAGACTTGACAAAACTTTGGACTTGACAACTTGACTTGACTCACACTGACCTGTGAAAGACTTGAGAAGTTCTAAATCTTTCTATACTAATATGATTCACACTAAGATCTTGTCAAGACATTTAAAAAAGAAAAATTAACAAAATTAATTTCTACAACTCTTATATACTCTATAAATACACAAACAAATATACTATGATTTGTTTTTTAAGTACAATTTATCTTAAAAGTCAAATAAATTGCAAAAATCTAAGCTATATTTGGTACTTTGGTTTAACTTGAAATGACTTGAAGCTCAAAGCAAACAGCTTGGACTTGACTTGGACTTGCCTGTACTTGACTTGGGACTTGAGACTTAGATGAGACTTCGTCCCACCAGTCTCTCAAATTTCAGATTGATAAATCCACCTGTCAGTTAATCTCCAATCAGAGAAATGCATGGTCGGTTTCTGGCAAAACATTGCATCTTAAGAGCAGAAAAAAGGGAAACAGTGCTACAACTGTGACTGGCACCTCCCAAGTCTAGACTGTCTGATGCATTTTATGACCTGGTTCCAAACCATTCAGCATTTGAACAGAAGGTAGGAGGGACTGGCTGGTCATGCAAGGAATGTTACATAGAGCGCATTTAATTAAAAACAAAGGACTTCAAAAGCTTTTGGACAATTTTTTTTAGCTCTATCCTATTGTGTGGCCAAGTGTTTGAAGGAAGAATCTGCATACCTTGGTTGGGTTCGCCAGCAGTAGGATTTGTGTGACAGCAGCAGGAGGGAGGATTGGGTTAAATGCTGGAAGCTCTGTACCCGACGGGGGCTGGAGCTTCACTGCCATGGACTGGAAAAAACATTTAAAAACAACAAATGTAACAGGGTTGTCCTTACAAATAAAACTTGCAATTTTTAAATGTCCACTAACCTTTGGAGCTTGGACATCAAAGCTTATCTTGGAAACGGGGGAAGGCGCGGAGGACAGCATGGAGATGATCACCACCAACACGTCAGGACGAGATGGAGGGTGGTTTTGAGCAAAGTGGAACAGAACTCGCAAACTGTGTCCGTCAAATACAGTCACAGGTAACAGACTACCTGAAAGGCAAAAAGCAAAGCAAATTTAATCTCAAGAGATAGTAAAATGTCAAATAAATGCTGACATACTCACTAGGTTTAATGGATTCTAAAGGTACAAAAACATCAGTGAGTGTGACTTGAGGGGGCGTTGTCTCGACGTGAGCAGGCGGGGCTTCTGTGTGCGTTGGGGACATGTCCAGGAGCGTTGCCGCGGAGCTGGTGTGGAGGTTGAGAAGAGGAGCCGCTGGTTCAGAAGGGAAAGATGGGATCAGACTAGGGCTCACGCTGGACTTCTGGAGATCCCTCAGAGTGGGTTTGGTCTGCTGCTTGTCCCTGATGGTAAAAGGTCAGGGGAAAAAATACAAGGCAACATCAATATTCACTGCCAATCTACCACAGTACTAATATTTGAGTTGAGTATGACGGTACTATATTTATAGAATATACCAGAGGTTAAGGTTTATTGTACCCATATTCTTTGTTACCAAAATCAAACATTTCGTCAGACATTTTAATGCATGTCTGTAACAAAAAGAATTTCCTTTTGCGAATGAATAAACGCAATTCTGATTCTGTGCTGTATCAGTGAGCATTTGAATTGTGTGCTTAAATTTACAGCTTTTTTTCATCATTTTACCCCCTTACAGACAAATCAACAGCTAATAATTCAAAGGGTGCCTGGCAGGTTCATTCATCAGATGCCCTTACAGGAATCAGGTCTTTCATTGGGCTGGAGCAGGTCATTTGATAGTCTGACACAGTTCATATTTTAGCAAGACAAAGACTCAAATTTTCCACTCTGTTTAGTGACATGCAATATCTGTTGCTGCATTGTTGCCCAAGGAAGCCTAGACGGTGACCCCTTTTTCTGCATGTAGGTGAAAAGCTTCAGAAAAATGCAGCTCAATCATATAGCACTGCTTACATACAATTTGTCATACCATTTAACGTGAGGTCCCTCTGGAGGTAATGACTGCTGTAGTAAAGTCTTTCCGAGTAGATCCAGCTCATCTAAAGCAGAGTTTCCCGGGGTGGAGGTGCTGGAGCGGTTCAGGGAGGAGGCCGGGGGGTCCGGGCTCAGTAAGAGACTAGGGGCTGCTGGGACATCTGCGTCAATGCTCTCTGAAGACTGAAGGCAAAGACAGTACTGGAATTACTAGACTGAATTATCAATTGCCAACTTATGACTTAAGTATTGCATTTTTAAAATTATGATTCATCATGCAGCTCTACTGTGCAGTAACAAGCAAACTGTTTGCTTAAACCATTCCCACTTATTTACAAGGGCAAATGAAACATGACATTAAGAGGAAAACCACACACAAGTTTAAAATGATTCTTATGATTTTTTGTAAAAGCTGGAGTATAATGTATTCCATGTTTTTGTTTACCCAACATGCAACATTTGTAGTTGTCCATCTTGTGGTTTATGTGGATTCACAATGATGAAATAACATTATTATTTGATAACATAACTATATGAGTAATGTAGAACATGTGTTCTTACCTGGAATGAGTCCCATGCTGTGGAATCATCGGGCTGTGAGGCTGGATTGGAAGTGTGCGTCCCCTCACTTAAACCTGTTTTAGAGCAAGAGCAGCTTAATAAAACTCATTGTCCACAGACAGGATAATTAATAATGTGATACTCGTACCCAGAGACATGAGTTCATCATCAAGGAGACTGATCTTCATCTCCTGAGAGGGGGCGTTCAGACTCTCCGTTGGAGTGGGAAATTCTGAGGGAGACTGTGGTGACGTGTCTAATCCACATAGATCTAACAGAGCAGTTCCTCCTAAATTAAAAATTGATTTACGGACTATAATTATTACATCATTCCAAAAAAAAAAAAAAAAAAGGCAATTTCTGCTTTACACTTACCAGTTTGCTTCTGTGTGCCTGCAGTGTTCCCATTGACAATCTCTCCCTTCACCTGCTGCTTATAAAGGTTAATAACTTGAGTCAAATTATCATTTGCTTGCAGGATCTCAGCTGTCAAAAAAAAAAAAAAAAAGATGCGTTTTAATGGAGAAACCCCATGTTCCAAAAACAACCTACAAAGAAAATATGAAAATAATATATATATATATATATATATATATATATATATATATATAAAAAATGAGATTGAGTAGTTCAGTTTGAAGTGGGTCAAACGGCATTACTATACTATAAGTGTTTACTGTAAGTGTTTTCTCAAGAAGCTGCATTTGAAAAGCCTCCAAATAAAAAGTAATCATGTATCACATGAATCCTAAAGTAGGGTTGCCAGATATAAAGTAATTTAAAGCTCACCTAATGCTTCATCACTGTCTTCTGTGTCACTGGCGAGTCTAAACAGTGTAGGTCTCATTTTTTCACAGCGCTGGTACAGATCCTTAATACATACAGCACAAACTAGTCATTATGTGCATTCAACATGGAAAGGTTATTGAAATAACTTGATATTTGAATAGCTGTTCACCTGGAGAAGTTCAGCATTACTCTGGGAGCTAGTGTTAGTGTCGTATTCTTGTAAGAGTTGAGTGAGAAGAGCCACACTTTCGTTCACCTCCTGAATTGCATTGACTCTCTTGGATACCTTCTCTGTTCGTCGCTGATCCTGGAATTTCCAAAGAAAACAACTTTAATTTTAACTGATAATCACATTGCAGGTCAGGCTATTCGACTATTGCCCACGCAGAGATGCACAGATTTTCCATAAAATTGAGGGCAAATGTCTCTAAGCTATTCTGAAATACGTCCACCAACTCGCTGCCCCCATTGCCTCAGGGCATCTAACCCATTTCTTTTTTCAATGTCTGCTCGTCACCAAAAGCACTGTATTCTGGTATTTCACTCTATACTGAATATACTATTATTTGTTTAAGTTATACACAGGCAAAACAGTGACAGACCTCTTGAACCATTTCTTTAATAAGCTTATTAGCAGCTTTTAAGTCTTCAGGGTGTGAGCTATTCAGCAGACGAGAAAGCATCTGAAGAAAAAGAGGAAACCACCTTTTAATCTTCGTTTCATTGTGAAATAAAATGTATTATTTGACAAAATTCTTAATTTGCACTTACTTTGGATTTTTCTTTATCTTCAAAAATTGTGTTTTTTGGTCTGGGAGGAGGCAGACCCATTAGTTTATCAGGTGGGAGCTCAGGATCTTGTTTTATAATACCTGGTCACAAAATGAACACTGAATGAATAAGCAGCACAATAATATACATGCAAAAGAAATATCATTATCATGTGAGGTTTTCTGGCAGTTACTAACCTTGTTTTTTCAACATTTGATAAGCATCTGTTATTTTTGCCTCATCTGGTAATGCTAATGTCCAACTATAGATTAACTCCAAGACCTTCTTTTTGACCGGCTCTGGAGACCGTGAGCCAAGGTACTACAATTAAAAGATATCAAATATTTTAAAACATAGAAGATAAACAGAAATTATATTTTTTTTAAATGTGGAATACCTTTGGAGAAACTACTTTTATAAGCTCATTTAGAAAACGAAACTTGCCCACTTCACTGTGAAACCTTTTCCCACAGTTTTTCATACAGGTCTCTAACACCTGCAAAGAAACCATAGCAGTCATTTCAGTCAAGAATTGTATGGTTAATAGAAATATGTAGGAAGTCTTCGGGGTAAAAATAAGAGGGGGAAGGACTAACCAGCAGAGCCTGCATTGCCTCCCATTCTTGTGGAGATTGGACCTTATGGGCGAGCAGCCTGGTAGCCAGCTGTGGACTTAAGTGTACACAGTGCTATTAATACTAAATGTCAAACTGTAAAAGACACCGAAATGCAAGGCTGCACCATTTTGGAGAAAAATTTAATAAAAATACACGTACCCCTCCAGATCATTGTTGAGTTTATCACAAAAGGCATGGATGCTGCTCCAATCTGTGTCTCTGTTGAGTGGGTTTGTTGCTCTGTCTGAAATGTTAGACGATGTGAGTCACTAAAGCATCTCAATCGAGTCCACAACAACGACTTAACACACTATTAATTTCATTCAGACATGGATCAAGCGTAGAGTGACCAGAATGTCTAAATAAAAAACTGGGACATCCCTGTTTTTTTTGGTGGTTGGTAATAATAAAATTGTGAAACAAGAGCGTAATGAAGTAAAATTGTTATGCAGAGACCATTTATGGCTAACATGTGAGTCAGTACAGTCACGTTTTCTTTGTGTTTTAGTCTGTTTTAAGCAGCTTTTCTGTATTTTACTTAACCAAACTACAACGCATGCCTCTCTTTACTGTTGGCAGCTATTAAACTGGTCAAAAATAGAGACACCTGACACATTTCTTGTAGAAAACTGGGACAAATCTGCTGAGACAGGGGACACAGGGCTCAAAACTGGGACTGTCCATGATAAATAGGGTCTGGTCATCCTAGTCAAGCGCATATTTACAATGGATAGACACTTTAAAAAGTCAGGTGCGTTATCCAGATTTCACTGTTGATCAATATAAAGCGACAGCATCGGAACACTAACGTAATATAAATGAGTATCTTGCAACACTACAAGATCAGCTGATTGCGACAGGCGTACGTAGGGTAGATGATGTCTCAATCTAAAATTCATCCAGACTGTGACACATAACACCAGCGAGTCACCGAGCACACAGAAGAGGCTAATGCTAGCTTCACGTCCATATTAGCAGAGTATGGCCGACTTGCCTAGAACTTTCTGGAGGACAAATCGATATTTCAATCTAGCTTGCGAAGTAGGGTGAAACTATGGCATTTCGTTCACAAGTTCTCACCAGACACTTGTGGTAGCGAGCTAAAGCCACGGCTGGTTGTGCATTGTTGACAGCTGGCAGGCACAGCAGCTCTGGGGCTAGCTTAGCATCCTGCTCGTGACTGCAGAATACGTGTCATTTTGCAGTGTGGATGTGACATTTACGTGGAGTCACTTACATGGTTCTTATTCACACCTGCCCGCACTAATCTGCAACAATGGTAAAGATAAATGAGAGGGAAACTTACTGATTCGAGACTCCAAACTCTCCTCGTCGGGCGGCGCAGCCATGGTCTCTGCGAGATTTATGTGTGCGTCGGTCTCGCGAGGGGAGACGCACGCGCACGTCCAGCGCGAGACGGACAGGATGAGACACAAAATCACATTATTTTATTTTGCCCATTTTTATGAACAACTTGCATTAGGTTAAATTGTCCCGCATTATCTTACTGTTCATTTAAAGGCAGAATATGAACTCCAAAATGTGAATGGTCATTAGTAATCGCAATTAGAGTTATAATTATTATTATCAACGTAATCTACACTTCATATTAGTGAATATGAATATTCAGGATGAAAAAAAGCTTGGCCTGTAATTGGAAACCAGCTCCACCTAATTATAGTCAACTCTATGTCTCCCCTTAGCGACAGACAGTGCACATTTCACTCAAAATGGAGCATGATGATGGCAAGGAAAGTAACGGAATTTGATTTAAATTAACACGAATCTTCAAACTATCGCGTGGACTTCCGTGCGGATTTTATAAAGGATGCAGACGTGTACGTTTTGGAAGGTAAAGAAGAGTGGATTTTTGCTGAAGTTGTACTTTGTGGAGACGTGCACTGCACGCCAAACTTTTCAGGCACTTGTGAACAAAATCCACACGCTGGGCTGAGAAAGGTGAAATGATCTGACGTTTCTTGACAGACAATGGCGAAAAGCGATGCTTACTTTGTTGGTCGACGTGTACAATAATTTGGTGCTGCAGAGAAGTTGCTGTAAAGATGAAAGTGGTTTCCTGTTTCCTGCGCTAAAAGCAATGCCCGCATTTTATATTTAACTTGAGATGTTTGCACATCAGCCGCTGCGCAAGAGGAGATGGCATCACCCAAAGTTTTACGGGAGTGGTGCCGCGTCACATGTGCTGGCTACTCCAGTGTGGATGTGAAAGACTGGTCAAGCTCATTTAAGAGTGGGCTCGCCTTCTGTGCCATCATTCACAAGCACAGACCAGATCTAATGTAAGTACGGTGACTTTACTCTTCAAGTGAAACACAAAACTATGATGATGAGAGAAGTAAACGTTACTTCTCTATCAAAGTCTGCAAGTAGGTTACTGAATAGGCAAATTCACTGAAGCAAGGGGTTTATTTTGGCAAACCGGACAATATCACTTCATGCTTCAGTTTCTTAATCTTAAAGCCGGAGTTGAATCTAAACTGACCACCGTCATCATTGACCATTGTGTTATTTGTCTCTGACCTCTTAACCTCGTGTCATGTGATGTGGATCAGGATATGACTTCTGCATTTATGCAATTATTTGATTACTTGTTATTATGGCCAAAGGAATTTACTTCCTTTTTTTTTCTCTAGAGATTTCAGCTCACTTTCCAAAGATAATGCTTATCAAAATAACAAAATGGTGAGTCCACTCTAATGTTTGCAAACCCCTTTTTGTGTCTGTGAATATTTAAGGACCAACTAAATCAACAGTGTCTGTGTTTGTAGGCCTTCGAGCTTGCAGAGACAAAGCTCGGTGTTTCCATGCTGTTGGACGCTGGAGAAATAGCATCAGCCTCAGAGCCTGATCGTTTGGCTGTGATCACCTGTCTCTTTCAGTTTTATTTCCTCTTCAACAGGAAGTCCATAGGTACATCTGTTTGTTTCTTGTGATCCTCTTCTTCTGTGAATGATGTACTTTTAAACAAGTGGTAATTTGTCCAACAGATCTTGTCAATTTAAAATCATTATATGTCACCGTCTTAAACAGCTCAGCCAAGAGGACTCAAGACCCAAAGGTAAATCCTAATACTTTATTTGGATGTGTCTGTATTCGTTCCCTCTTGTTTTGCTGCCGGGATACAACATAACACTCTTTTTCAGAGCTTGACTCATTTGGAATCCACTGGAAAATATTTTTCATCTGACACAAAACCACAAGTCACATGTAACCTGTGTTTTAAGCCTGTGCATTTAATACAGAGACAAGTGGTGGATGGGAAAGTCTATCATCGCAAGTGCTTCAGGTAACAGTACAACCTATATTATTTTTTCTATTGTTAACACCCCTATAGAATGATATATATTTTGTTTTCCAGGTGCAGACATTGCCATCTTTCCCTTCTCCCCGGTGCTTACACTGCTGCCTCCATGATATGCTCTCACCATGTTAAACACCATAGTGAGAACACTTCTAAGCAGACAGATACATGTGGTTATCTGTCTCTCAGTGGATTGGCTATCAGCCGTGTTCCTCATTACTCTATGAAAACAGAGCCACTGGAAGAACAGGTTTGCAAGGAAAGAAAAATATGCTCTAGTGGATTGTACAGCACCGTTAAAAAGACTTCAGCACAGTTGCCAGCTAGTGTAGATGATGAAAATAATTGTAATGATGAAAAACGTGAAGCCGGGATAGCTTCAGAGGACACAGAAAAGATTTTGGGAGAGAGAGGAAGACCCCCGGTGCCAGCTCCCAGGCACAGGATGAGCTCACATGGGACCACAACATCTCCAAACGTGAGGACCCCTGGAACTCAAGGTAAAGAATGTTAGACTGAAAGATACTTCTCTTATTATTAATCAAAACAATCTTAATTAATTTAGTACATTCATGAGGAAGTAAGGTTTGTTGACATTTTGGAGTAGAATAAGACTCATCATCTATAGTATCAATTGTGGGTTGAAAAGTTAAAGACTAAAACAGATTCTCATGCTTAGATTGTTTTGCCCTATTTTATGAAGCATATTTGTTTACTTCCCACGTCTCTAGGCGCTTCAGACAAAACACCTGGTTCTGCTCCTGTCGCAACACACCTGTAAGTCTATCTGAGAACAGACACACCCATGCTCTGCTCTGCTCTGACATTATAAATATTGAACATGAGACCATTTTTATTTGCAATGAAGTAAAAGCTGTAGGTTGAACCCCCGTTACATTAAATCACATGATCTGTGCATTACACCAACTAGAATAGAGAATTATGATTTGGTACGCTCATAGAATAAAAGCGTTATGCGTTCACTGTCCACTTTTTGGGGGATTTTTATTGAGCTATAGCCTATGTAGTTATCATGTAAATGAATTCTGTTTTCTGAATTGGATGAGCCACATATGGTTAGCAATGCATTTGGAAATTTGAGATAATTTTAAGTTGATTTGACTTGGTTAGACTTTTACTAGCCAGGCTGGTGCCTCCGCTCAATTTCATTTCTCTCCAGCTACTAGGTCAGGAATTAGAAAACACTAGACAGTTTGCAAGAATCCCAGAAGTGCGAGGCCTGGCACAAGCCAGTCAGCGAAGAGCCATACATTCTGTGTTGGCAACAATTCCCAAGATCGAGGATTTAAAGCTGGAACAAAAATTTTATCGAGGGATAAGATGTTATTGCCCTTCTTCCTACGAGATTTGGCACATTACATACGTCATGACCAAATAGCAGTGACTGGTTAAATAAAAAGTACCCACCTACTGTCAAGCAAACGAATCCTAATGCTGCGAGGTCAGACGGTTTCCACGAAGTGAAACCAGCTGATGAATTAGGCTAGTACTTTGCAAGATACACACAAAAAATATTACAGTTGAATCAAGCTGTATCATTCGAAAATAATGATGACATAAATGTACCTCTTGTAATCAGAAGAAAACTGTTTTTGGACACTCATAGATGCTTTTACTTTTTTGTTGTGTCTCTAGTGGCTCCAGTCCAACCAGAGGCAGTTCTCAGGTCAGAACCAACCATCCATGGCTGAAGATCGTCCACCCCGGCCCTTGGACCCAGCTGCCCCCTGCACCGCCTCTCGTTCACCCTCTCAGATCCAAGTCAGTGAGCAGCCTGTCGGGCGTGTGGTACAAAACCAAAACTCTTGCCCCCAACCCTTTTGACGAGGAGATATCTGACCAGACCACACACACAGTTGAAGCTGATTCAGAATTTGAAGAAGTGACTGAAATCATTGACAAAACTAATGATCCGGACCAAAGTACAGTCAGTGCGTCTTGTACAGAGGACTTGGAAGTACAAACCATTTCACCAACTACAGACGAAGCACAGAGTCATTCTGAAGCCGTTATAGCAGCTGGATCTGATCATTTAGAAGAACAAGTCCCACCATGTCCACCTCAGGTAACATAAAAGATTATATATTTATTTTATTATATTAAAACCACAAAATTAACTACTGCCAAATCTGAACAAGTTGATGATACACCAATACGTATTTATTTATGTGTGTGGGTCTGAAGATGTATGTAGGTATGTAGTTCTTATAGATAGTTGCAATCAAAACTATTCCACCTCCACTGCACATTAGGTTTAATGGTAAAATGTACAAACTAGCAGCTGTTTACAAAAAATAAATCAAACTAGAACAATTTAAATAGCTCAACATAACTAATATTACAAGTGGTTTCTTCAAATTCAACACAAAATGCTACTTTTAATGACTTCTACTACTATTGCTGCTGCTACCACTACTACTACTACTATTATTACAACCACTACTACTACTACTACTACTGACTAGTATTTTGTGTTTGCAGACTGGTAATGAAGACTTAACAGTCAAACCTGAGTCTGCCGGAGAGCTGCCAGGTCACAGTCCAGCTGATCCAACACCGGGATTCCCCCTCATCAAGAGAAAGGTGCAGAAGCTACACTGACTCTTACTACTTTATCTTTACTCCTTAAACATTTTTGTTCCAGTGAATTAATTTAAACTCGTATGTTGACGAGAAGGTGCAGACAGACCGGTCCACTTCCAGCGAGGACCTCCAGCAGCAGATCGGACAAGTGGCCAAACAGCTGGAGGCTCTGGAGGAGAGAGGAGTGGAGTTGGAGAGGGACATAAGATGCTGCACAAACAGTTAAGTTATAAATCATAGGCATGTTTTATATGTCCAGCCCAAGATGCATGGATAGAGTTTTTTTAGAAAGCAGTGAAAATAGCTTAATTATCAGTTGCCTTTATTATAATAAAACTTTGATGGGGTATGGGACAGGTAGATCTATTGAGCCGTGTAATTATTGTGATTCAATACAATACAATGTGTGAAGAATCCCTCAGTCGTCCAGGTAGAATCCATGGCGAGGAGAAAATTTGATAGGAGAAGACCAGCGACTCCAGGTTGAGGTCTTCAGGAAGCCCACACACACGGACCAGTACCTGCTTTTTGATTCTCACCACCCACTGCAACACAAACTTGGGGTTATTTGGACTCTACAACACAGGGCTCAAGTGGTGCCTACAAGCACAGAGGGAAACTGGTCCACCCAAAGGACAAAACACCGAGCCACAAACACAGCAATGTGGTCTACTCCATTCATTGCAGTGAAGACTGCAGTGAATGCTACATTGGAGAAACTAAACAGCTACTTCACAGCCGCTGTACATCTCCACTTAAAAGCCACAGGCCACTCATTTGAGGACTGCGAGGTACAGATTTTAGCCAGAGAAAAGAATTGGTTTGAGAGGGGAGTGAAAGAAGCCATTTTTGTTAAGAAAGAGAATCCTTCTCTAAACAGAAATGGAGGCGTCAGACACCACCTATCTCCTATTTACAACTCCATCCTCAAACCTAATTCAAAACAAACAAGAGAGCAACAGGTGTAGCCAGGTCAGGTCCAGAGGTGTGGAAATTCCTTTATGGCCACGAATCGTTAATTGCTAATTAGACCCCACACCCTGCACAGGTCAGTAGGCCGAACTAACTTACAGAAACTGAAAATAAGTAGGTGTGTTAGTTTCAGAGTAGTTATTTAGCTCCTCCCTGCAGACAGATATAAGGAAGTGTCCACCAGCATTCTGACCAGAACTGAAGAAGCAGCTTGGATGAGCTGCGAAATGTCTTCAACGAAACTAACTTTTGTCCAGTCGACAAACTGAATTTTCTCCTCGCCAATTACAATACAATCCTAATTTATTCACCATAAACTATAATCATTACCACACCAATATGTAATTTAGTTATTAGTGTTCAGGTGTAATTATGTCTTTTCAGAAACATGTGACTTTTGTTTTTTTGCAAACCAGATCAGCTGCTTGGTTTGGCTTTGAAGCTACTTCTTTAATGATGCTTTGTGGCAATTTTCAGATAAAGAAGAGGAGAAACTCTTGATGGACTGGTTCTCTCTCATCTACCAGAGGCACGTACTTCAGCGCAAAGATGCAGAGCTGGTTCACCTGTAAGTTCAAAGTAGTGTTCCTATCAGTCTTCACATCCTTTGATGAATTCACTGCTGATTTACTCTAAAATGTTTCTCTGTCTTTCCAGTATGAAGCAGCAGGAGCTGGAGCAGAGACAGGAGGATGTGGAGTACCAGCTCAGATGCCTCCTTAACAGACCAGGTGAAAAAAGAAATGTGCGAACTTCAACACAGAGCCAGATTGGTGATAAACAATAGTATTGAAACCAATTTATACCACTGACACAATAACACTATAGCCGCATTATCCAAAAAAACTATTCTAAATGTAAAAAACATGAACTGCAATAAATAAATATCAGAATGAAATACTTCATTAGTTTGGTAGTTATTAGTAGAGATGTAACAATAACCTAAATATTGTGATATCGTATCGTCAGAGTTGTCACAATAATATCGTGAACCATTACAATATATCGAATTACAAGTCTCTTCGCTTAAATTAAGCGATATGGTAGCAATAGCTAAAAAAAAAAAAGACTGAGGGAACTACATAGACCATGATCCTTTGCTCCATTTCAGTGCAGACTACACGAAGAAACAGCTCTAAGCTCTTTTAAGTTTTAGTTCTTTGGAATAAGTCTTGTCAAGGCATTTTAAGAGGAAAAAGTAGCATATTCACAGTTTTAGCTGTTTAGCCTCCATAAAATATCTCAAGAAATATCGTACCGTGAGCTGTATATCGTGAAAATATCGTATGAAGAGATTTGGATATCGTTATATCCCTAATCGTGAGCCTCTCTGCCATATCGTGAGCTTTCCCATGATATCACAATAAATATCGTACTTTGAGATTCATACCGTGACGATATTGTATTGTGAGACTTACACCCCTATTTATTTGTCATGAGACATACCGGTATGTGATTGTTATTCAATCCCTCAGTTTTTATTGTAGTACAGAAAAACATAAGCCCAAAAAATAATGACTCCCCCAAATTATTATCAATCATTTATGTAAAAATAAGTTAATAAGGTAAATTAAGTTACTGTAAAAAACACATATTATATTCTTAAGATATTGTGGTCACATATGGTTATAATTACTTCCTTAAGCTGACCCAGCATTTTTCCTGTGAGTATTATAGACACTGGACATAAACATAGATAGGATAGTGTTGGGGTTTTCTGTTGTATAAGATGGTTAAAACATGACTCTTGGGCTCTGTGGACTGGATTGATTTCAGAGGGAGAGTGGAGTGAGGAAGATCGAAGGCAGGAGCAGCAGCTGATGGAGGAGCTGCTCCACATTATTGAACAGAGGAACCAGATCATCAGCAGTCTGGACCAGGACGCACACAGGTGCACTGAACTCTACAACACTTTATGTTATTACTCATGAGCAAAATGTGACTGGGTTTTTCTGATTTTAGGGAAAGGGAAGTTGATGAAAACTGGGAGACTATGGTGAAAAATAAAGGTAAAGGTTTCATTTTAATTCTGTTTACGTTTTATCAGCACATACAACGTAAACATCTGTTTACATTTTATCAGCACATACAAAAAGAGTTAATATTTTTGTTGTGTCTTGTGCTTCATCAGATGTTCAGAAACGTGAGTTAAAAGAACTGAAGAAGTCGAAAGGAAAGGTCAAAACAACCAGTGTTTTTCAAATTCTTAACAAGAAAACAAAGTAGAAGAGAAAAGAGCTGAGGTACAATTTTGTTCGAAGTATTTTTTATTTGTTTACTGTAGACTGAACATACAAAATATATATCATTTATAACGCATTGATACTGCCTGTTCTAACGATTAACATTTCATATTCACAATAAAACTTTATTTATTCTAAAATTATGTCCTCTTTGTTTTTTGTATATATTACTTATATTGTGGTGTTAAACTTTGGGGGAAAACTTAATTGGAAATAGTAATTAGATAACGCTAACATTTCAAATAAGAAGAAATACATTTTTTACTGGTAATTTGGGTTATACAAGATTAAAAATTCTGGCAACAAATATCACTCAGGGTCCAATATATGAGACTTTCATTAGAGATGTTCACCGCAGCAATTATTTTCAGTGGTGCTGCGGAGAGTTGTGTGTCTATTTTGACCAGCAGAGGGCCTCATTTAACAATATCTTTGAACAGACTTGTGTTGAAGTCTTAGAAAATGCAATACTTATACCTATACAAAAATGTGCTTCATCTATGCAGAAAAAATAAGATGAGAAGCACTTTGTGGGTAGGGTATATTTACAGTTCAGATTGTGGACAGGTGCTCTTTTCAACTTGAAAACATTCAGTAGTTGTTGGATAAAATCAGAAAAATGCATAGAAAATCAGATTACAGCAGGGCACTCCAGCTGTACAGTGCACCATCTATATTTATTTTGTTTATTTTGATCTTTATCTTTGTTCATCATCAACATAAATGAACCAGTTTGGCCCAGTCTGTGTAGCGGCAGGAGAGGAATTTCTTTATGAATAGATCTCACAACAGTGTCATTCAGGAGATCTGTGATTTCTAAGACCATTCAAAACCCTGTCATTGCTTTCCCTCCACGTATTCAGCTGAGTAGTTAGGATTCTTGTCTGGTTGAAAGTCTGACTTGGGCATAGCTGTTGTGGACAGATGACCTCTGTGTAATAATCAGTTATGGAAGCAGTAGATGGTTGCAATTATTTCTGCATGGCAACATCAAAACAAATTGTGATTGATAAGGCTCTTCACAAGGTTTCTAGTTATCTTTGTAGATTGCAAAACCAATGTAATTATATGTTGCTCTTAGTATGATTATTATTTTCTAGTCTAAGCAAATGATTGTCCCAAACCAGCAACTTTCCATGGCATGCAAATCAATTTTAATGGCATTGGGTACACCAGCTTAACCAATTTTATGACTCCTGAATGTCTGGATCATTCAATAGCTAAATACCACAACTTTTAGATTTGCTGCCAATGAAGATATGTTTTTGGCACTCTGACTTTTTCTAAAAGTAAAACTCAACTTCCTTGTTTCTCTTGCTCTATTAAAAGAACATAGTCCAGCTGGTTTTCTGAGCTTACTCAGAGAAGAACTAAGCTGAACTAACTTCACAAAGGGCGTCATTCACAGACATCAACAGCATGATCTGATACAAAGAGCTTTTCTGTAAATCACACGCAAATGTGTCTGTGCCCCACCATTGTTTGGATAGTCGCCTAAGTTTTGTTACTTTATCTGTTTGCACACATTCAAATTACAGTTGCATTTGTACCAGACTTAATGCAGAGATAGTCCGCAAACAATTTTTCACAAAGTATTAAAATAGACCAACTTACATTTGACATGTTTGCATAGTTAGGTTTGAGCCCCTGTGGCTTTGCTGGTAATTTCTTTTATATTATTAAAATCTCTTAAATTAAACTTTAATGTCCTTCATCATTATTCCAGTTGGGAAGTTGGCCTTAAATTCATGAATGTTTTGTTCTGCAAATAACAATATCCTGTATTAATTGATATTACTTGAATTCAGTACATTAAGTAGTTCTGACAAGTTATAATTTATTTACTCAAAGGACGAACATTATTTTACTTGTGTTACTGATTTGTTTCATAAATGCTTCCCATTTGCACAGTTAATTAATCAAATCCTTGTCTTAATCAAATCCAAATGATCACTTGAACAGTCTTTTTAAACTAGACAAAATATTTTTCTTTTGCTTTGTGCATCATCTGTTCTATAAGAATATTTTAACTCAAACTGTGTGTATTATTGTATTAGAGATCATTCATGACAATGCAGTTTAGTCATCTTCACCAAAACATGTGTGCAAGGGAAATGTGCACCGGTAGAAGTGCCCTAGTTTATCTTATCAGAGCTTAAGATATTCTTATCATAAACTAAGTTGTCTTCAGTACAGGTCTAGAAACTGGTTGGTGGAGTTCTTCCCAGCAGTCAGTGTTATTGCACTTCCCCCAACAGTGTATGGAGTCATTGTGTTACAGTCTTAATACACAATGATTAGCAATAGTAGTCGATTTATTGTGTATCATTTTCTGTATACATAAAACAACAGAACAACAAGGAAAGCACGTTTTCAGTTTTACTGGTCCAAGTTCAAATGTCAGTTTGTATGACAATAAGATGCCTGTATGTGCTTTATAAAGAAGTCCTGGGTTCAAATTGAATACACAGTTTTTCATTTAAAAGAAATATAAAAATATAAAAGAATGAGGGACTCCTGATCTGCTGGTTGCACCGAGCTTCATCAGTAGAGGAGACGAGATGGTCTTTAAAATACTAACTGGTTTACAGTGTGATTACTGTGTTTAAAATAACATAACATAAAAAATGCAAATAGTCGTCATTGTGTGCTACAAAGAAACAAGAATGTATTTCATAAGTATGAGTATGTACAGAGATTTTAAAAATACAGACATAGTACAAGTTTTAAAAAAAATTAAGTGCATTTAAGTAAAGTTTTTGCACAAAAGCACACAATTCAGATATTTAATATTTCTATCTTCCTTCCTCACAAGATAGCGTAGCAGCACCAGTCATGGTCATGAGTTTTCTTCCCGTTTAAAATATCCTCCATCCACATTAAGTTTGGTAAAGTGAAAAAAGCTGAATGCTAAATAGATAGTGTGACTACACTTTTGTGCCATAGGCCTCACATTTATATTTTCAGTATTTCTTATTTTTAGTATTAGTGCAGTCCCACAGATCGGTTTTCTTCTGAGAGTAAATACTTGTGTTCTACCTCCTGACATAACGGCACTGGGACTGTATGTGCATATACAGTATGTATACTATGTAGTATGTAAACTATGTAGTATGTACACTATGTAGTATGCACAGATGTTCAGCTGCTGACTGGGCGCATGGACATGTACTGTCCTATGTCGCCCCAGGTGCCCATGCGTGTGTCCAGCCAGGAGGTGGGGGTTTCGTACATCATGGAGACGTCCACCTCGTCGTCCTCATCACTGGAATCTGCTTGGTCTTCCTCCTGTGAGTTGCCACGGATACGGGCCACCTCCTCCTGCTTCTTGCTGTAGCAGTGGCGACACAGCTTCTGTTTTTTGGTGGCGCTGATGTGTCCGATCACAGCCTTGTCTTTGCTGCACTTGTGGCACACCAGGATGCCACACATTCTGCAGTGGTGGCGCCGGTTGGTGTGGGTGAACTTGGCTTCACAGACCAGGCAGATATCAGAGGCGCTGTCTGGCATCCAGGACACTGCGTATTCACTGGTGGGAGTGAGGCCCTTCTGCAGTAAGGAGGCTTTGCACTGCTCGATGTGCTCCATCCAGGCTCGTTTCTCCTCTCGAGTGGGCGCCGCTACGAAGAACGACTTTTGGGGTGTTTGGATCAACCACTGGTTCTTCAGGTTGGCTGTGTCTTCCATGTCCTCCAGCTTGATATTTTCTGTAAAAAATGAAGTTCGGTCAGACTTTTCAAAAAGTTTAATCTCCCACTCCCCTTGCTGCTCTGAATAATAATAACTGAACAAACACTGCACAAATATTATAAGTATAAACATTATAATGATCATATCATAACAAATACAACAGTTTGGCACACCATGCTTGCAAGCTTCACAGTTGTTATTATGGTTTAATAGGAGCTATTGGAAGTACAGATTAAGTAACAAATTCTTAGTCTTTTAGAAAGAAAAAAACTGAAAATCAGGTCAATCACCACTGCAAAAAACTTCACCCAAATTTAAGTTAATTAAATGTGAATATTAATATAGCTCATATAAAGTTTAATATGTGACTATTTTAAAGACTGACCAAGAGGGATGATCTTTTGTTTCTTGTACCAGCGGCCGTTCACGAGGATGCTGCCGTATACGATCACGTCGTTGAAGAGAAAGAAAACTTTGGGCTGCGGTTTTTTGCGGCTCTGCTTCAGAAGGCGACCCTCCCCCACCAGGACGCGCCCGGGTAGAGTCAGGGGTTTACCGGACGGACCGAAGGAGTCGGCCACGGCCTTGATGCGGTCCTGGTTTTCTCGGTCGAAAGTCAGCGTTTTCGCCATGTTGATGGTGCACAGAGTCTCTCACAATACAGGTGCTGTACACGAGGAGGTGCGGTTATATCTGGCACCGGCGCACACCACGTGATGACGCACAAGGACAGGTACTTTCCATCACTTTACACACGGCACAACTCAGGCAGGTAGGCCTAGTATTCACACAGATCAAAATAAGTTGCAAAATGTTGCGTGCAGTTCAGTAATTCAGAGAATTCCCAAGAGCGAATAGTTGAAATCCATATGTGAAGGGGCATTACTGGGTGGGCAATATGCCAGGGGCGTCCATGCTTTTTTTCATCGAGGGACACTAGAACGTATTTGTAGTGGAGGGCCCCAGATTGGTGGTCAATATAGCAAGACTTTTACATGGGTGCTTTTAACAAAGTTTGGCAGATCCACTCTACCTTTAATGTGTAGAATATCTTTAGGGAATGTTAATTTACAGGTCTGACCTATAAATGTCCATTTATAAATGTTCATGTATACGTCTGTAATGTAATTTTCTGAGGTTGTAGTGGTAGAATTAATTGAATTTGCAATAAAAGGTGTTACCTTTTTGAGCCAATTCAGCAGAAGGCCTGAGGCTGAAGCCAGCAAAAATGGTCCTATTGGGGCAGCATTTGACCCTCTCTATAGTTTGGACACTGCACCCCTTTATAGCCCATAGTATATTCCTGTTATTGGATGTGGTACAACATCTCATCAAAGCACATGCAGTAGCCTACAGGGCCTATTTCATTTGTAGTACCCCCTCCAAAAACAGAGAGAGAGTGCAACTCAAGGGGTAATACTGAAAATAAAGGTTCCATGGGCAGTGTATTTCATGATAGACAAGCCTGCTGATTAAGACATTAACATTTTTTCCGTGCTTTTGTTAACACTATGGTGATACAAATATATTTATTTGAATAATTTCATCCCATTTAATTAGTAGAGTAAAATGTCACTCTATTTTTAATTTTTAAGCTGTGATTCTCCAGTGTAGTCTCTTTTATAAGTTTATGATAATACAATGAGCAACAGAGTCTAATTTTGTTATGAATCTATATCGTCCAGTTTATTTTAGACTATGGGAGGTCTACAGAGTCTCCTGTAAACTTTGGAAAACACTGGAGAGTCAACATGCAAAGTCAACACGGGGAACACCTATTTCATAACATGAGGAAATAGCACTGCTTTAAGAATCCAAAACCTGTAGCCTGTTCCAGTAAGTTAAAGTGAAAGGGGAAATGCCAACATGTGCCATAAAATAATAGGCTTGTTTTTATAGCAACACCAAATCAAACAAATGCCATAGAGTTGTCATTTGTACTAATCAGTGTATCCACCCTGATTATTGTGTATCGAGTGTTCAACAGTGATAACAAGTTTTTAACATTCTGTAAACATGCTCGAAGAAATTTGTTTAAAATATTACAACTGCATGTAGGATAAACATCATCTTTTATTTAATGTTGTATTTAAATGCTTTTTTTTATTATGGTACACAGACTTTGTTGAGTAACATAATGTCTTGTGTATTATAAATTGTAACTTATTGAGTATTTTAATCTCTCCCTAAACTACTTTGGTTGACTTTCAGCATAGTAACTATCCGCTCAGTATAAGGTCTAATACTGATAAGGGATGGGTCCATAGTAGGCGGTGTAGGCAGCGATGATCCCACTGGTGTCCATCATGTGCTCACAGCCCAGATTGGCCTCACACACCTCTCTCAGGCTGAAGACAAACAAACAACCGTTAAAGGCCTCGTATTACACTATTTTCTATGTCACAATGTTGTTTCCTCATCAATTAATGTGATTAATTGAGACTCAGGAGCTGGACCACGCCTCGACCTCCTCTCCAGCCAACCACAGCTTATCTCAACCACGCCTTCAATTACCCAGAAGCCCTATTTATAAGGCCATCCCGACAACACCGTCTGTGTCAGCCCCTCCGTCCCACCCTGTGTGTCTCATCCATCCTTCAGCCCAAAGACATCACTTTAAGGGGGGGTTTAACATTTTGGATTGGAGACGGAGCCCCCACGCTCAGTCTCGCCCCAGTCATCACATCTATCCACTGTCAATAAATCTCTTTTATCTCTTCTATCTTTATCGTATACCATCGTTGTGGCGTGGTCTTTGCTAGTTAATCACACATGTTTAACACACAAACCCTGCATATTTACTTCTTCTCTTAGACAGAAAACACCTTTTGATGTCACATGTCAGTGTGCTCCACTGTGTTTTTAAACTCCATACTCTTTCACTAGAATCTGAACTAAAGGTAAAATGTAGCTTTTAATACACCCTTTATCACTATAGAACAGAGCATTTTGAGCTTTGGGGATAGGCAGACTAATAATAAAGAGCTACTCAAACATGTGTGAATGAAACAAAACACAACTCCAGGTTTGTTTTTGATGAGGTAACAACATTATAAAATGGCATTTTGCATAATAAACGCCTTTTAATCAAAAATACTTTTATTTATTTATTTACATAGAGAAAGTGGGTGTTCCTGCAAAGAACAGACACAAGAAGTGTGGGCAGATTTACTGGTAAAAGGATCAAGGAATGATGAAGGTATGTTTATCGAGTTTTGGTTGAAACACATTCTGCAGTTTAGGAATGCTGTAAGGCAGGGTGAAGTTTACCTCTCCAGCTGATACTGAGAAAGCGCTCTCTTCTGCCTCACCACAGAATCGGCCCGCTCTGGCTCCAGGAACACATCTTAAGAAAAAAAAACAAAGATTATGAAAAGATATTAAACATACATACAACATACATGTTTTATACAGATGGATGTAGCTTTATTTTTGAAGTGTAAGATGAAAGTTATTTTTTTATGGATTAAAGCCACAGTATAAACCACACTACAATTTTTTTTTTGCATCTATTGTTGAGACTGACCTCAGATTTGTTCTCTGTAAAACCACAATGCAGTGACAGCATAAAAAAAATGAGAAACCAATAAACAAACACAATTTTTAGACTGCCAGGCCCGGGTCTACAGGGTGCTAAAAAGTGCATTGCAACCTCAGTTAAACATGTTCACACCCTCATTTCAGGCACCTAAAATAATGTCACTTAATTGGTTGCACCCCTTAGAAACTTGAATCCACAGTACAGCACAATGACATACCACCTCGTGACAGCATAAGTGACTCTGCTTTGTGACGAGTAAACAAGTTTCAGTAAAATATTGTAATGTAGACCTTTTATTTATATATGGAAGTATTGTATTTAGACACCCATAACTACTCAGTTGACATACAGGTCTACTGGTACAAATGAAAATGCTTTAAATATACTTATGGCACAGTTTTGACTGCAGCAAGCCAAACCCTCAACTAAAAAACTAAAGAAGACCAAATCTTACCATCTTGAGCTTGCCCATGTTGTTCTGCCACAGGTCGGTCAACTGAGGCCCCTGTGAAGAAAAGATATATCAGTGATAGTCAATACTTAAAAAAAATAAAGAAGCAGGCCGCATAACTATACTATAAAATGAAAAACGCAATGAATTTTCTAAATAAAACGCCACACTGACCTGAGGTAAGGTGGACAAGCCCCACCAAACAGCCCAGGAGCAGGACAGCCAGAGTCTTCATGCTTCAGTTTGTTTCTGCAGGCAGCACTTCAAAATAACGCGTCCCCGCTTTCTTACATATATATGCTACCTCAATGTTAGCTTTATAGTTGTGGGCATTACAGTGTAGCATAGGCGTGTGATTGGTCAAGGCATCTAGGAACATACACCCACATTGGCACTTTTGTCCTGAGAAAAATTCACATAAAAAGAACCCAGTATGTGCTTTGTATGTGAAAGAATGTCCCAAATTTATGCTTTTTATTTTGGATGTAAAGACCTATGGTTAAAGAAATAAATGCTTTAAAAAATAGTAATTGCGTTTGTATCAAATAAAGTTTAGAAATGTTGTACAATACACTTAATGACATAAAATATAAATTGTCAGCTATATTTTTCATAGGGATTTGGATGCAGTTCTTCATGCCGCCGGTAGAGGTCAGGCTTCAACAGTACAATCCAATGATACAGGTCAATAGGTGCACAAGCAAACCTTGTAATCAGCCTAGAACAGACGGACTGCATTATTTTAATCTGTGGTTTGGACTTTTATTACAAACCACTGCGATTTCCTACAAAACCATGTCGGCATTTGGAGGATTTAAAGGATTTGGGGTAATTGTAATTGTGCAGAGAAACCAATTAGAATACAGCAGGGACACTTTAATGCATTTGATTGGCTGTGTAGTAACGTGGAAATAATTAAGATGCTAATTTTGGTCAAAAGCAATATTTTGTGTGTGTGTGTAACGTAAAGGGTCACATTGTCTTCTTGGCTCAAACACCTCAATACCTGATCCGCTACAGCCTCTTTCAATAGTTGGAATCCAGAAAAAAATTGGGTAAATTCTTTTCAAAATTACAAAGACAGATGAGCAGCAACTTTACAAGGTCTAGCCTCAATTTCAAATTCAGGACAGTAATGTTTATTTGTTCACAATTTCAAGGTTTGCAAAAGTGTAGTAGTCTCTAATGGATGTTTCGTTTTCTCTGCGGATTGAAATACTAAATAGTTAAAGATGGACTATATGTAACTTTTCTGGTGAATGATCCACCACCTTCTTGTCTCTGTGTAGATGTTATTGCTTTGCCTTGAATGTTCCACAGTATAGCATTAAAGGTCCTATATTACGCGAAATTGACTATTGTGAGCTTTAAGCCATCCAAACATAGATGCGGTTTGTGTTTTGTTTCATTCACACACGTTTGAGTAATCCTTATTAATCTGTCTATATCTTCAAAGCTCAAAATATTCTGTTCCACCTTGTGATGTCATGAAGTGATAGTTTTCAAGTTAACAGCTACCTTTTACCTTTTGAGACTGGAAATTCCAGCGCAGAAATTATCCAAATGATTCTAGTGAAGTAGTGTATGGATTTTAAAAACACAGTGGAACACAACTCCAAGTGTGTTTGTAACGAGGAAAGAACATTATTACGTAGATCAGAAAATAACGCAGTATTGGTCCTTTAAACTTATCTCCATGGAGACAAGAAGGTGGCGCCAGCTGGTCAAGTTACAAGTCAGATCTGAGCTGCTCAGTCAGGCAACAAACCTACCAGAAAAGTGACGTAGTGCAACTTTAAATAACAAATACTGCATTTTTACATCTTTGAATAATAATAACCACAAACCAAACCACTTAAATATTTATGTATAATTAATAGGGGTGTGCTAAAATATTGAAATATCGATATATCGTATCGTTTAATGTGATGATCCAGTATTGATATCGTGGGCTGCTGTATTGATATATCACCAAGAGTATTTTTTGGTATATTTTACTAAATTATTTTGTTACAGTGCTACAGTTTTGTTGCTTGTTTAGAGGAAGAAAACTCTTTGACATTTTCACTGTTTTGATGATTAAAATATTTGTGTTTCATATGAACTTTGCACAAGACGTGGTTTAACAAAGACTTTTAGTATCACAGCCACGATTTAGCCATTATTTTTTATTGAATTGTGTTGAATCGATTTGAAATATATCGTATCGAATTGAAAGCTCACTGTATTGAGATATGTATCGTATCGTGGCCTGTGTATCGAGGTATGTATCGTATCGGCAACTTCTTTATGATACCCAGCCCTACTGATTAAATAAGATTAAACAAAGGGTAAAACTGTAGACAAAGAAAGCAGCTGACTATAAACTAAATATAATATGATTTGAAATGTTTTCTATAATAAAGTTAATACAAGGCCAGTATGTAGGCCTAAAGTTACATGCAAGAAATATTTAGTTTAGCCTGTCTACTTCTTGTGGTCTGTAATTTTTGTGTCTAGGCTTTTGTCCTGACTTGAAGCGGAGGACAGCTGTAATTGTGGCATGGACACAGTATGGAAAAGCAAACATGCTCTGTTGACAAAGTGACATGTGCCGTCCTCTCTGCAACCCTTTTTGAAATTTGAAGGAGATCATAAGTACAAAAAAATTGCAAACACGTTATAATTAATCTTTATTTGTATGTTAAAATATTTCTGCATCATGTATAGAAATAACAGCGTTTTGACATGTTGTTACAATCCAAAACAAATGCCACAGAAAGTTATCAGTAAAAACGTCATGTTCCTTAAAAAAAAATTTAGTAGCAAAACATATTTATATAGGCTTGTGTTATAAAGCTCTTAAATACAGGGGTAGGAGTGGATGAAGTGGGATTACATAGAGATATACCGTGAGTTGCTACAGGTGCATAATGATGGGTTGTCAGCCTCTGCTCAGTAAATGTTAGCTCTGAAGAAAGACAGAATCAGAAACCAGAAAAGTGGACAGATAAAGAGAGTGCTTTAAGTGTTTAGTATCGGCGAGCGAGGGCTGTTCTCTGAGGGGTCTGGGCCCGGGAGGCGAAGAAGCGCTGGTAGGCCTGCTGGTAACCATAGCGATAGGCGTAAAAGCGGCAGGGGCTGTAGTCCTCGCAGGTCTCGGCACGGCGCTCTGCTGGGGACTTTATCCTGGATCACAGCGCACAGACAGCACAGTCATTACTGGCCTGTTTCAAAACGTGGTTGAGTGTAACTTGGAGATGTTTCTGGACATAAACTCTTTGTGAAGATTGTGTATTTATTAACACAAATGGTTACTGCATACTGCCATCCACTGTCTAATTTATGTGGTTAGAGTTGCAACAAAATCCAGTGAGAGAAACTATAAACTTTTCCATTGTCAATCATTGTACAAGTGTAAAATTTCTTTTTTTTCAGTGGAAACGTGAAATGTGAAATGAAAGAAAGGCAAGTACGTAGATTTATATTTTTGTTTGTTCCTGTAGTAATGCCTTATAATATTTTAACAGGCTACTGCTGAGTGGATCTATTTTTGGGGCGTAATAATACGGCTGTGATAAGGTCACAAATAAAAATGTTTTAATGGGCTGTTAAGGAGTTTTCTGAAAAATAATAAATCGTCTTCCTAAGAAGCTGTACCTCTTCTTGTTGTCTTTTATCGCACCCACAACCTCCTAATTTAAAAACTTAAAAACTAATGTCTCAATAGTATTTCCAATTTATTGCACAATTTTGTGAAAAAGTGAGGTTTGAGATGTGTTGGGATGTGTGGGATTAAGTTAAAAGTGCAAATATTCAACACATTCAGCAGCATAAACAATAACATATCAGGGAAATCTGAAATATGAACCGCTAAACTAACACAAGAATCACATTCACTTGATGTTATGTTTGGTCTAAAGTACAGAATTCAGTCTAAACTAAAGGATGAGCCAAATTTTAAGTTTACAGAGGGCATTCCATTACCGAAAATGTCAAATTGTGATGTTTTTTAAATGACCTCCATTTACTTCCTTAACTGGTGCTCCATTATTCACTAATGTCAAATAATGGTCCTTGTAAAAGCCTGCGCAGGTGTGAACAATCTGAAGGAAATCCATAACCACTGGTGTAGCTGGAGTTTATCAGCACCACCCTGCACTACAACTGAATTAAAAAGTTGTAGAGAAAGTAAAAAATGAGAGCTATAACTGTTACTTCAAATGTTATGCTTTTCAGTGGGGTGCATCTCATTTGTACATTTTCAGACAGTTCCTCTTTTTTTCAGACAGTTTGGATCCTTGCCTCACTCCGACCTGAGGCTCCAAACAACGTTGTAATTACAATGAGATCGTCAGCGCTGCTTGTGGTGAGAGCTATTTCCTGTGGCGCTTTGTGTCATACATAGAGCAGCCATTTTTACCTCATCATATTGTAGAAGTTGAATGCGCTGCCTCGGGATGGGTGGTACGTGATCCCCCTCTGAGGAGTGATGAATGAGTTGGCACGACTGGGAGCCACAAATAAATCTGGAACAATTTATTAAAGCAAACTTAACACAACGTACCAGTTTACCAGTAATTAAACAACAGGATGCACTTTTTAATTAGTAGCATGCATGTTTTTCCATAAATTAAACTTTTAATCACCTTCAACGGATTCTGAGCTTTCATGAGAATCTATGGCAAAAACATGTGGTTAATGTCAAGTTGATTACAAACACAACAATATTTTAATTGCTGGAGTGAAGGGCTGCACGATATTGGGGGAAAAACAGTACTACGATTGTGATTTGCAAGATATGTTTAAAAAAGGAGGATTCTGTTCAGAGGGCACATCATAAACAACTCCAGGAAGATTAACATTTGAATCATGACTGAAATATGAACTGATAAACATGAATTTCAGAATAGAGGTCTAAACTAGGGTTGCACCAATCCAGTTTTTTCCCTCCTGATACAGATTTCAATACTATAGCTTTAATTAAGTATCTTCAAATATCCACTGTCAACTGAAAACATTGCAGGGACTGAAAACCACATTTATTTCCTTAAAACAAATATAAAAAAATCATCCAAATGTGTTTTGTCACTGTTATTTATCCCTCATGTAACTACTGAGTAGCCTGATTCATCTGCCGGTTTCACTTTGTAGAACCCGCCTGACCTCGCTTGACGGTAGGCGGGTCCCTTTTTTCATGTAACCAATCGCTGCTAATTGGTCGTGATGTATGTAATGCGCCGCTAACTGGTATATTAAGCTTTTCCCAAATCCCGTAGGAAGAAGGGAAATAACGTCTTTCTTCTTGATAAAATTCATCGAACATTCTCTTTATTCCACCTTTAAATCCTCGATCTCGGGAATCATTGCCAACACAGAATGTAAAGCTCTTCACTGATTGGCTGGTGCCCGGACTCACACTTCCGGGGTTTTTGCGAACCGTCTAGTGTATACTGATTCCTGACCTAGTTGCTGGAGAGAAATTAAATTGAGCAGAGGCACTACACCTGGTTAACTAGTGAGAAGCTTTCTATAAAAAAAAAGGTCCATAATATCAACTGAACCGATATTTATTTGGAAGCCGATATCCAATGCAGCAAGTTTTCCAGCATCCGCGCTGTTACTTGATTCCAGTATTGGATTGGTGCTTCTCTAGTCTAAACAAGTGCAACAAGATGTAGGGAGAGGACACTTTGATAACATTCGATAACTGGACCAAGTCAATTTCCATTTTGTTGTGGCCCCTCGGGGAGAGCGATGTGCAGGGCTGGACGGGGATGGGTGTTACCGTAGCAGAGACACAGAGAGGTGGCGGCGAGCAGAGCCAGCAGCTGTAGGAGCCTGTTCATCTTGGTGTTATTTGTCCTGCAGAGAGAGAGCAGAGGGGTGAGTCCATGCATGCAGCCGGTCAGGAGAGGGACGAGGCGAGGGAGCTGGATCGGGATTAAAGGAGAGCACCACCGCAGACTGGATGTATGGCTCCAGAGGAATCTATATGTGAGTGTGGTTTGGATGTGTTAGGTTAATCCAAATACAGGAGGGGATATGGGATACTGCGCTCAGGGTATGCGCTTTGGATGTGGCCGTAGCGCAGACTAAGGGCTTCTTAACATAAAAATAGATTAAGAAAAGTATACAGCGGGTAACGTTTAAGATAAGAGGTAAAAGGAATAAACAAGAACGCCAAGAATAAAATAGGGGTTACGTACAGTTTCAACAACCTCTAAGGTACATTTCAGAGACACCATAAACTACACTTGCCAAAACTATTACTAAACCTATAATTAACACAAGCAAACACTTCTTTTGTATTTTCATGAGTGCTAAACTGCAACAAAGCAGACTTCCTCATTGTGACTTCATCATCAAGAAAAAATGCTTGGCACTGTTGGCAAACCTAAAACCTCTTGATGGACACAAGCCATTATTCCGAGACTGACCATGTGTGTTTTTCAAATCAATATAAAGGCCACCTAGCTCTTGAGATGTTTTTTTTTTTTTTCAACAGTATAACATTAAATTTATCACCATGGATAAGACAGTGATATAACTGGGCGAAGTTACAGATCAGATCAATCCTGCTCACGATAAGAATGCATGTTTTCCAAGGTATTTTTGAACAGCAAAACATCTGTAATGGCATAATGTGGTTCCTAGTTCCCCTTTAAGTGACCTGACTTGACGTGACAATACTGATGCTGCCCAAGCTTGGTGCAGTCTCGCCAAAAGCCCTCTCCAGCAGCTGGCCTCCCCTCACGTTTTGCCTACATTCTAAACAAGCCCTGCTCCTCCATGTGTTGTATATGCATACGTATACAGCACAGTAGTATTGAACCTAATCTGTGCTAATGTGTGCTGCACCTGTTTAAACACGCTCTATCATACACACATGCGGTGATGCCATGGCTTGTGTCAAAACCACACAGCTTCTGTTTGTAGGATTTGGACTTGCTTCTGTTTCACCCTGCCTTCTCCTTCACTGTCAATAGCACCTTTCATAAACCGGGCTACACACATGAGCCCGAGGCAAAGTCTGGCATCAGTCAAAGCAACACTCCCAGACACAGCGGGCCTGAAAACTCCAAATCTGCAGCAGGCGTGTGGGATGTGCTGACGGAAGTGTCTGCAAAGTTTTATACAATGTTTAAATCTTAGCAGGAGGGAGCAGAATGTGCAAAAAAGTGCTCACCTCACTGGAAAAAGCACCCAGTCTGCAGATATCACCAAGAGCCAATATTTAACACTACAGATTCACTAAACAGCAATTTCAGCTTCAAAGAAAAACTGGCCAAGGTAGTGCTTTGGATGTTATCTCAGGTAGAAGTTAACAAAAACAATAGCCTGTTGCAAGTACTTTATTCAAAAAGAATAAAACCAAAATGCAGCTACAACCAAAAAATACTACAATACTGCTTAGTTTTTTGTTTAATTTCACCATCAAAACCAATATCACAGCAAACACCTCTTCTACTTCTAATATTACTACTATATACGACTTCTATTCACTCTTATTTTTAATACCATCACAACATCGTTATTATAAATAGAATAACAACAACAATTTACTCCATCTGTCATCTCCTACTAATAATGGTACTAATACTGCAAATGAGTACATAAGTTGAGGTTGTCCACTTACCGTAAAACTTAATGCTGTCTTGAAAATACTTGGAGTGAGTTTTGCACAGGAATATCTGCTAATTCCCCACAGCTATGCTTTTATACACACCTCCACCCCCCCACCTCCCCCTACCCCTTCATTACACCCAACAACTCTCCCCTCTCTCCTCCTCCTCCTCCTCCTCCTCCTCCTCCTCGCTCATCCCTCTTTCCACCAGTCAATGGGACCAGAGTATTAGCTCAGTGTCTCCGAAACTCCCACCACTTTTATATAAAAAATAAATAAGAGAAGGCGTTTGGCATGGGCACATCTGTAACAGCTCTGTGATAGTATTCGCTGCTGTTTGCAAGCATGGCACGGGCTTCAGACGCTACTGTGGCTTTGGCTCCTGTACAAGACCTCTGCTCCGCGGTAATAAAGCAGGTATTGTTTTGAAGAGAAGAAAAATGTAAACTTGTCATATTGAAAAAAAATGACTGAAATTATGTCATGCCAGAACACTTTTGATTGAGCCAACAAAGAGTCTAGTCGTGAAGTAAACAAACGATAATAGTGTAGACAGACAAATCATCACTTTCTCTGAAAACATAAATGAAAGAAGCATAAGCCTGAAGCTATTTAAAGATACACTCTGCTTAACACCTTTGGGGAGAAAAACAGTATAAATAAATCAGCTGCTAATAAACTCAAAAACTAAATCACGACGTAATTATGATTAGTGCATGTGAAAGGTGATTAGGACTGCAATGAAGAAAATACAGCGCTAAATTTTGACTAAATTGGGGTTACTATACTCCCACAAAGCTCTTAAAGAACAGAATGATACTACTGACAATTTTTGCATGGAGCGATTTTGTGGGATGCCAGTGTTATAAAATTTTTCAGCCCTGGTTTCGTGATTAGTCCTCAATAAAATAATTCTACCATAATACCATAATAATACCGGATCTGATACTGTTGCGCTGAATACACGGGGCAGTAAAGAATAACCTTAGTCTCTTTTTATCTGGGCTATGTTATATTCCACAGTCACACCAAAAAAACAGAGTAGCCTTTTGTCATTCCTCATGTACATTTGTTTAGGCATACTAGCACACATATGTTAAAACAATTTAATACGCGGGTCACCTACAAACCAAAAACAGCATTAGTGGCGGAAAATCATTGAATGAGTAAGAAGATGGCAAACATTTATATTCTTGACTTTCCAGGTTGTGAGTACTACAAAAACAACATCCAAGGACATGCACATAAAAGCAGACACAGTTTGGCCTAACCTGGCACAGACATGCCTTTCCCAAATATGGTAATCAGTTTGGCATAAAGCTGGACACTTAAAAAAATAAAATAAAAGTACTAGTGTGTAGCTAGGGCTGTGTATTAGGCTGGTAGTTTGACAACATGCAGAGAAACTGGGTTATGCCTGTCTACTTTAAAAATATGTTTGTGCCAAATCTGGACCACTCCCTGTATTCTGTCAGTGACTCAGAATCGAAATGTCCTTAAATGACCAATTTCAAAATTAGCTCTCTTTTGCCCCGTGTAACCAAATGTCTCCCTCATGAGAAATGTTCTGAATGTGAGTGTGAGGTCAGGTGGCTGTTTTTGTGGCCGTGCACTTTGCCAGAACTTTAGATATAAATGAAGTGAGTGTGATAGCAGGATGTGAGTGGGCAGCGCTGGTCACAAGCTCACCTGTGCAATCGAAGCTAATATAAATACAACTGCTGTGAAACAACATTAAAAAAAAAAAAAAAAGTAAGCAACTGGTGAAAACATAAAAGGTTAAAGGTGTACTGAATATATTTCCAGGTAAGTGGTGCGCTACCTGCCTGGAAAAATACACCTGCCTGCTTACGTCTGTAAAGATGTTATTACTTTGCCAAGAATGTTCCACAGTACGGTCTTAAACTGAGTTGAGAGGTAAAGCTGCGAACTCTGAAACTGTGACTATGAGTCATTTTATGGTTAGGAAAGGTTAGTGACCATTGACTGCAGGTTGGATGGGACTGTGGCATTGATTCACAGTACTGATAACATCTCAGACAGAACTGAGACATTGCAAAGAGGAATGTGTAGACGTTGAGACCAACAGAGACAATCAGAGCTGGTGTGGGTGCAGCTGCTCGACCTAAAACCCAAACAATCCAGATCTTATCTTCTTGGCCTCCTCTAGCCAGCACCAATCTTGGCCAAAGCCGGCTGGTATCAACTTGCCCAGGAGAGATTGGGGCAGGGAGGCGCTCTCCTCCCCACCCTTCCTCTACGCCTTCGCAGCTTTGCACCCCCAGCATGATGGGCGGGTCTGTTTTATCCAGCGCCACTGGCTGCAGGATCTGGATGGCTGCTTTCCTACTTTGGGTTAACTCTACCCCACTACTCTCCCCTGTTGCAAGTCTAGTCGTAATGTTTGTATTGTGTTTTGACTATGTCCTGATGTCGCGGAGGTGTTTTTTTGTGTGTGTGTGCTGGTTCCATATTATGCGCTGTCAGGGGTATGGTCTGGGGGCTGTTTCCTTCCCCTGTCCTCATGTTATGGTGCATTGTTTCTTCCTGTGCTACCTGTCTTCCGGTCCGGTCCAGGTCTAGTCTCCCCATGTCATGTATTATGTGTTTGTCAATGTACGGATGGGGTCAGGGGGGACAGGTCCAAATTTGATTCCTTTGTCTGTCTTGTACATGTGAAGAAATGGGCAAATAAAGGCATTCATTCAATGATTTTACATGTATTCAATTAAATATGTTTTACACGTTCAGGTCTTGAAACATGTGCATTTCAACGTGAGATGGAGATAGATAATATAAGACCATACTGTGGAACACTCCAGAGGAAGCAGTAACACCTAAATGGAGTCTAGTAGGTGCACCTTTAACTGCTTTTATATTCTCACCACAGACACCAATGCCCACAGTTGTAGGAGCAAATTTGGAGCCGAGATCTATATTAAGAATAGGAGTTGATTTACAGATAAAATAGCAAAATAAAAACACCAGAATCATCTGGACTCGGTTAACATGGACGTAAGATTGAAATGATGAGCCTGACAGCAGCAGTTACACAGAGAGGGGCGATATTTTTTCCATACAAAGTCGGAAAGCCAGAAACACACCCATGCTTTGGAACACGGGGGCTAATGTGTTAGCTGTATTCATTTAAATATTCGGTCTATTATTATCACATTGTCACTATTCAATAACTAAATGTAGGGTTGGTAATAATAAATTGTGAAATGAGAGCGTAATTAAGGAAAATTGTTACGCAGAGACCACTCTTGACTGACAAGTGGGTCAGTATAGTCATATTTTCTTTGTGTTTTGGTCATTTTTAAGCAGGTTTTCTGTATTTTACCGAAATAAATGCCAATTTATTCCTCTCTTTAGTCTTTTCTGGTATCAAATTGGTCAAAAATAGGGACACCTGGGACATTTTTTGTATAAAACTGGAACAAATCAATGGTTTTGGATAAATCTGCTGGGACAGGGGACACAGGGCTCAAAACTGGGACTGTCCCGGTAAATAGGGACGTATTGTCACCTTAACTAAATGGTTTCACCACTTTGTAGCCTGCTAATCACTACACTTGTCAGTTGTCCTCTTTATTTTGGCACAATTCCAATTTCCTTATAGTTAAACTCAATAAACCACTTTTAGCCTGCTTCTTTTATCAGTTTTATACTCTGAAACCCAAAGCGATGCCAACTAACTTCACAACTTGTACATTACTAGCACATTACGGCACAGCTGTTGTTTACAAACACTGAAGGGTCAGACAGTGGAACAGACCTAAATATAGCCTCAGACTGACACAAACGTGCTTAATGAGAAAGGCAAAGGTGAGAACAGGGCCATGAAGTTAATTACAGATGCCATGTACACAAATGAGCACATCGCGTCTGGACAAACAGCACATAATGTAGCAGTGTGTCTGGGCATCCTCCGTGTGGTAACTGAGGCTGAGCAGGTGTACCTCAGGCTGTCCACGAGCTTTAACCAAAACTCACTTACCCCAGGAAAACTGACCCCAGACCAGCCCAGTGGACGGGACCTGTTTTCCTTGAGTAAGTCGGTTTTTGATTCACTTAGAAAGAGTGAAGGGAGTGAGTGAGTCAGATAGAGGATGTGCTGGTGCGGGGGCCATGGGACAGACATTACTCAGGACGCTTCCTCTCTCTGCCCTTTCTCCTCCTAACTCTTTCCTTCTCCCTCCATCCTTTGCCATCTCTCCTTCTTCCTTTCCCCTTTCCCTCTTCTCTCCTTCTCCTGCTTTTTCTCGCCTTCTCCCTCTCTCCTTCCATTTCTCCTTCTCACTCGCTCCTTCACCCTCTCTCCCTTCTCCCTCCATCTCTCCTTCTCCTTCTAACTCTCTCCTTCTCCATCTCTCCCTCTCTCCTTCTCTTTTTTCAATTTCTCCCTGTCTACTTAACCCTCTCTCCCTTCTCTCTCTAGTCTCCATCTCTTCTACTTCATCTCTCCTTCTATCTCTCCTTCTCCCTCTATCCTTCTCCATCTTCCTCCCTCCTTTTCCATCTCTCCTTCTCCCTCTATCCTTTTTCATTACCCCCTTTCTCCCTTCTCTCTCTATTCTGCATCTCTTCCTCTCCTTCTTGTCTTCTCCCACTCTCCTTCTTTCCCTCTTTCCTTCTCCATCTCTCTATCCCTCCTCCATCTCTCCTTCTCCCTCTATCCTTCACCATCTCTACTTCTTCCTCTCTCCGTTCTCCCTCTCTCCTTCTCCATCTCTCTCGGTCCTTCTCCATTTCTCCTTCTCCCTCTCTCTTTCCCCATCTCTCCCTTCTCCCTTGCTTCCTTCTCTCTCTATCCTGTCTCTTCTTCTTCCTCTCCCTTGTCCCTCTCTCCTTCTCCATGTCTCTCTATCCTTCGCCATCTCTCCTTCTCCCTCTCCATTTCTCCTTCTCCCTCTCTTCTTCACTGTCTCTCCTTTCTCCATCGCTCCTTTCCCATTTCTCCTTCACCCTCTCTCTTTCTCCATCTCTCTCTATCCCTCTCCATTTCTCCTTCTTCCTATCTCCTTTTCCATCTCTCCTTCTCCCTGTCTCTTTCCCCATCTCTCCCTTCTCCCTCAT